AGAAAAAATTCACTGGTTATATAGCAGTTTGACAAACACTAATTTTGATCATTGAGAAGCTTAATATTTCCTTAACAATACAACGTAATTAAAACGTTTAGCTGATTTTTACAGAGTTATCTCCCTGTAGTGTTAGGTACCACCTTAATAAGTTCTGTAATTGCAGTCAGGCAACTAGTTAAACGGACTGTTAGACTTATATCGATGCCGAGTTGGAACGATATTTGACCCAAACAACTGTGAAATGTACACCTCCGATAAGAAGTTGTTCGTCGTATATTAAAATTTAATATTCCAGATCCCTGGAGAACCCGATTATTTAGCTATAATTATATGATTCGTATTGTCAATCTTCAGTATATTTTATTAATCAATTGTGTACTGTTGTTTGTCCTACTTCGACGTGTTATTCTTTGATAACCGAGTTAAATGATCACGACAAATACATTTACTTCAAACATCAAACTGCAAAATTTGTGTAAATCACCACCTATCCAATATAAGCCCTGAAAAAGTATGCTTAACTGCAATGGTCAACTAAATAATATTCAAAATTTAGATAAGACACAAATTTTACATAACAAAGAAAAACACTAACAATAAATCTATTTTCGTGTTGCAGAGCTGTACAATCAAATATTTAATCAGACTTATATTATATAGGCTTAGAAAGGATTTATCATACCCATTAGTTAAAACCGGTATCAAACATTTTAATTCAAGTTTTACATAGGGGCATACATAGACTAATTAAAATATGTATATTGTACATGGGTTCAACTCACACGTTTTTTAATTACATCTAATTTGCGGTCGGTATTGTATTTAAACTTTTGACACGACGGGCTTTACTGGGCTGGTAAAATATGACTGATTTCGGGTTCGAACTGAAAATACTTTTATTGCAACCACATAAACGTTGGGCGTATTCTACACCGAAGAACTTACTTGTCACACAATAGACAAACAAGTAAAAGAAATTGAATAACTCTTAGACAGAAGCCATATAAAATACAGTATCAGTGTCTTATGCTAAGCCTGCAAATTTTAACTAAACGCCAGACGATTTGGTACCATGAATATGTAATATGTGAAGGTTACAATTATTACTCTTTTCGTGATTGTCGATTCGGATTTAGCATTTCAGCTTCCTGTCGATGAATACCCACTTCCCTCAACTATTTGTAGCTTTTATATGTATTCCGAAAACTATTACCATGTTCCATACTAGTATGCTATAGAAACGAAACGCATCGAACAATTCCGAAATACGTTAGGAAGACAACAATTTTGAATAAATTCCTCCATAGTTTTCGACAACTGCTCGAAAGATACCAAAAACAGACAAAATATGAAACAAAATACATAAAGATTTATGATAAGTTTTCTACTCCACATTTCTCTCCAACGGAACGGATTCTTAATTACAAAGGCTCTTTCACATCCAATAAGTGCCGCTGCTAAAAGAGAGGAGAAAGATATGCCGAAATGACATTCAAACTCAAAGCCGAAAATAAAAGGACAACGCCAACAATAGTTTACAAAACACAACATAGAAAACTAAAGACTGTTCAATACGAACCCTACCCAAAACCGGGGGTGATCTCAAGTGCTCCGGAAGCAGATCCTGCTCCACATGTGGCACCCGTCGTGTTGCACATGTAGGTACAAACTCGGTGATAAGCCTTATTTGGTAGGTCACATTCGGGAAAAAGTATGACGGGATTGTGGTTACGATTGGAATATATCTGTCGTCATCTGTGAAACAGATATTCCATAACGCCAACCAACTCGTGATGGCGTCCGTAAAATTTTCGATGGGATGATTTCAACTTCACCACATGGAATTCTTGGTTTAACAGCTTCCTTGTGAGTAGCAATTCTCTTTCAAGGAAATCATTATAGGAAAGGCAAGCCCTGGAATATCGTATCAACTGGGAGATATATATACTTCGTATATGCAGGTGCTACTGGAATGTTGCTACAGAGAAACGGAAATTTCACAATTGGAAAGATGAAATCATCCCTTTTGTCGTAAAGTTTTGTTCTCAACCGACCCTCAATGTCAATTTCTAGATGGAAGTCAAGATGTGAGGCAGACTAAACTGTATCTGTTGTATCCTTTATTTCAAATTTGATGGGATAAATGCAACATAGTCACCAAACTTTGAATTATTTGGTGAGAGGACATCATCTATAGCGGATAGGGAAGTTAACGGATAACGCTAGCTTCTTTTCATTCTTCCTAAAAAGCTCCTGTATGAATAAAGGAACAGGTCAGCAAGAAGAGGAGCACGGTTGATTCCCATGGGAATGCCGATTGTTTGTTGAAAATCGTAACAAATATGTTGTCATTTAAGAAATCAAGCATCTTGATATTGTCAGTTTCAAAGAATTTTTTGTTTGAATCGGAGCGTTTTTTTTACAAAGTTCGATTCATCCCTCTCTAAGACAAGATACTTGTATCTACGTTTGCCATTCTTTTTTATGAAACAAAGTAGGACCAACTCTTTCAATTTGTCTTTTAGATTAATTGGAATGGAGAATACTTGTATAATGTGTAGAAAAGTCAAATGTGTTAATACTATTACAAGATGAAAGAGTTAGATTGTATGTACTCTAACAGATCTTTTGATTTTTTTTTAGTAAACTACAGCTCATACCGAACGTGTCTTGAAAATTGAATGTTATACGGGAAATTTCTCCGAGTAAAACTTTCTGAAGTGCAACGCTCAGTATACTTACAATTTCTAGTAATTATGAGATAGCTATGATGCTAAGTATGGCAAAACTCAGTAAAGATCCGTCTGAATTGCATTTAATTGATAAATTCAACAACACTTATCGTTATCTTGATGATATTTTTTCGTTAAATAATCAAGAATTTTCTAAATATACTGCCGAAATTTACCCAAAGGAACTTACTTTAAATAAATCAAATATTAACAGTAATAACTGTCCTTTCCTTAATTTAGATATTTCAGTTTTACACTGGAAACTCTATACTAAAATTTACGAAAAAAGGGACTAATTTTCGCCTATTGTTAATTTTCCTTTTTTGGACGGTGATGTTCCTTTGGCATCATCTTACGGTGTTTATATATATCAACTCGTTCGCTATGTCCGTGTCTGTTGTGACGTTTTGGATTTCAATGAACGTAATCTATGTATTACTGGTAAATTATTAAGTCAGGGATTTCGTTACCATAAATTACTTAAAACCTTTACTAAATTATTCCATAGATATAAAGATTTGGTTTGGAAGTTTGGTTGTACCTGTAGAAAAGGTTATTTTTAACGGGATAGCACATCCAAATTTTAACGGAGATGTTGTTTACTGAGCCCGGAAATTTAGATACGATCCGGGTAAACTTATCGATCCTTTGGATATACTTATTCTAAAATGTTACCAATTCAACACTGTAATTAGATCTTTGAATATTGTTTTATTGGTATTAATATTGATTTTGTTATCAGTAAATTATAATCAAACAAAATATTATTTTTATATACATATGCACATTCATGGCTCTACAATCTATCTATACCTGTATCTTGGCATTGCACAAGGTTATATTTTGCTCTGATTGTTAATGACGTCTTTACACTAAATCCATTGCATGTTGAATGTGTACTGATTGATATTTTAGTCTTAGATGCATGTATTTTGTTATTAGTTGTTATTTTCTTTGAACTAGCTGTCAGTAACTGTAGATACTCTCAGCTAGATCTGTACTTTTAGTATCTTTTTGTTGTGGGGATGTATAAGTACCCTGTCACGTCCGCTCTGTGTTTTTGTTAGATGTATTTCTGCTTTGTAACGATCTGATGAGTTAAGCCCTTTTCAACCGATTTTTATAGTGTGTTCTTATGTTGTACTGTTACACCACTGTCCCAGGTTTAGGGGGGTGGCGCACCTGCAAACCAGTTTAACAACGCCACATTATGTATGTGCCTGTCCCAAGTCAGGAGCCTGTAAATCAATGGTTGTCGTTTGTTGCTGTATATCGTATTATCAGTTATCAAGATTAAAGTTACTTGATTATGTCCATTTTTCAGATAATGTAAGCAGTAGGTCAACTATATTTGATGAAAAAAGAGATTCTAAGGTGTACATGTCTGTCTGGCATGGTTCTCCTGACCTTGACCTCTTCTTTCATGATTCATTGGTCAAATGTTGAGTTTTCCAGGTAAAGTCTGTTTCTTAGATACTAAAAACAATAGGTCAACTTTATTTGATGCATGGAATGATCGTAAGGTGTATATATCTGTTTTGCAGCGTTCATCTGACCTTGACCTCATTTTCATGGTCATTATTACGTTTCATTGTTTGGTCTTTTCTAGTATACTATACTTGAAGGCACCATGCCAACTATATTTGTGTTTGGTATGATTGTAAGGTGTACATGTCTGTCTGGCTTGGCCCGTTTATCTGACTTTGACCTCATTTTCATGTTAAGTGTGTGTGATATTTGTAGTCTTTATGACTACCAACAAAAATCAACCATGCTTTTCGATGGTAAAGCAGGCGAGACCTTTCAGCGTGGGCGCTATTATTACTAATTATATTGTAAGCTCCTTTAAAAACGTGACCACAAATATTATCCCCGCATAAAAGGTGTTTTACTTGTTATATCAACTTTTCTGGTAAAAAACGGGACTCGGTGAAATGCACCGTCCGGGCGTCACTGGGTAATAATAAATTAATAATTAATTTATAATGATAATAATAATAATCATGATAATAATGGAGAGTGAATCGACCAAGTTCGGATTCATATGAGTGAGTACGTGCGCTATTTATATACGCACAATAATTTTCATAGAAGGATTTACTATTAAAATCCGACTTGACTGCACGCTTCAAAAGATCAAGATTTAAGATGAAGTTTTTCATACCTGAACAGTTTTGAATAACTTTTCTAAACCAATATATTTCCATAACTAATCAGTGAAAATCAATGGTTTAAAGTTACCTTTTATTTACAAATATATAGAAGTATGTTGACATGTTGATTATAAGATGCATACGTTCTTGTCTTCGAAATTGAGATGCATACATTTATTTTCACATCAAGTACGAGAAAATCGGCTTACCCGTAACCGATTTAATTTTTTTTACCGTCTACTTTTTCCGGTCCGGCAAACGATGTCCAAGAAATCAGTCTGTATTGTTGGCTCCGGTAATTGGTGAGTATTATTGTTTATGTAAACATACTTAAACAATTTGAATTATTTCTATTTAAGATACTTGCATTTGTGTTCTGAAAAAGATGTCCTTGAACGTTTGTCCTCCATTAATCACGCAATGTCAATGCGACAATCCCGTCAAAAACGTACAAATTATGTATACGGTACTAAGGATATATAGTAGTAAGTAAGGATTTGTATAGCACTATACAAATCCTTGTAATCAGTAAGTAAATCTTTAGATTTGGTTGTTAGGGATTTCGTAAGCTCATGTTTATTCAAGATCAAGATTGTTCACTCTACATAGTACATTTGTACATGTATCATGTATATGTATAGCTGCAGAACCGTAGCTCTTAGGTCCTTATGTTATTTTTTTTTTTACTATTGTCCGCAAATAGTAAAAAAATAACATAAGGACCTAAGAGCTACGGTTCCACAGCTAGTATATGTATGTCGACTCTAAATAAAATTTATTTAGTTACTCAACTTTAATTTTGACGGATACTACCGAACATAGTATAGGTGTAATACCACCAAATCAAAGTACGTCACATCCTGTTTCATACAAAAAAAAGTGTAAATAAAATATTTCCTTGAATTTGATAGTTGACTGGTTGTAGGAAGTTAACCCTGCATTTCATTGCAGAAAAAAAAATGAGTCATAAACATAGATCTTTGGGTGTTTCAAAGCACCATTCTTTTTTATCTGGTGTTTCTATAAAATATTTTGGAAACTTCAGGTGACATGGTTACTAAAGCTTCACAATTTTTTGAAAAATGAAATTTTAACAAAGACTAATACATGTAAAAGGCCTAGGGGAAAACAATGGTGGTATTACTCCTACAGATAGGGTTCGAGTAATGTAATTTGAGTTTGAGTTACTTCCCTTGGCCACCATTTTGATGGGATAGACTGTTGATTGTCTTATATGACTTACCAAATTGAAACATGCGATACACACAAGTCTGACAAGACATCCTTACTTGGTCGTAGTGACGAATTAAGTAAGACTGAAAGAAATAAAAATTGTTAAAAAGAGTATTTTCTAAAGTCTAGCAGTCAGTATAACAAGTTAAATTTAGTTGACTTGTGAAGTAATTTGAGCACTTAGCCCTCCAACTTGGTGACAAAAGGGAAGTAACTCTTGTTATATTTGTGTCAATCCAAACCTATCTATTATTGACTTGTGATTGGATATTTATAACTTCAAACTGAAGATGTGCCTCTATTGGGAGAACATATTCAGATACAGATACAGTCGGTAGAAGTCTTGAGAGCGTCTGTAGGCTTAAATTTTATTTATTTGTGTTAATAAGAATAAAATCAATACATTTAAATGAGAAGGCCTCATTTTGTGTGTTGCTTCTCTTCCTTCCACAATAAATTAATCATCATGCCTCTGTGTGCTTTAGGTACCATGTATAGTCGCATTTGTCATCCTCGCTTATGATTTTTCCGTTTGGGTTATTTTGGGAGGAAAACGAAAATAAAGGCGCCCGGATATTGTTTCCGTCATCGGACAGACTTTTAAGTCATAGACAAGACGTCCGTTTAGGACTGTTTTGAATTTACACAGAATTTTGGTAAATTTTCAAACAACCCTTAATTCCTAACATCATGATAACATACAATGTTTTTGGTACCTGAGCTACAGGAACCGGTATCAAACATTCCTTTGGTACCTGGAAGTGATAAAAATACAATTTCTTGTGACTCCTGGAAACGGTACATAATCATGTTTTATTTAAGAAATAATTCATGCAAGCACTAGATTTTGAAAATTTTCACATGGCATGGGTTGTTATATTGGAATTTCAATGTTTTGGGTACCTGAGCTACAGGAACCGGTATCAAACATTCCTTCGGTCCCTGGAAGCTATAAAAATACGATTTCTAGGGACCCTCGGAACCAGTATATAATCATGTTTAATTTAAGAAATAATTCATGCAAGCCATAGATTTGTTGAAAATTTTCCTTACCAGACCAACTCTACTTTAGACCAACTCTACTTTAGACCAACCGACTTAAATTTTTATTGCCAAAATTCTGTCCTCATGAACATTTCACATAAACTTATCCGTTAGAATAATAATTAGTTCTGTCATGTCTAAATGCCCGCGATTTCGCGGGTGTATTCTAGTATAGTTGATAATGTGTTATTTTATTTATATAGTTAATTTTTGAAAGTCAGTTTTGACAGTAAAAGTGGTATTTGATGCATGCATATACACAAACATACACTACACTAAAACATGTTACCAACAGATAAAATATCAGTTAAATTTTAATATTAAATGGAAAGCTGATCATGTGGTTATGTATATCTTTTGTACCTTGTATTCATTAATAAACTATCTTTTAAGGGGCTCAGCCATAGCTAAGATACTTGGTAAAAATGTCAAAGAACGCAGTGATAAATTTGAAATCTGTGTAAAAATGTGGATGTATGAGGAAATGGTGGATGGTAGAAAATTAACAGAAATAGTAAATACAGAACATGAGAACATAAAGTACTTACCAGGAGTAAAAATACCTGAAAATGTGGTAAGTGAGACCATAAACACATTACATGTATTTGATGAAACATTTATACACATATAAAACTGCAGAACAAAAAATCATGAAAATGATCAGAAATGAATCATAATCACATTTCCCAGATGACATAAAAACAACCCCCCAAAACTCTGTTAAGATAGATAACATCTCAAAATCTTTACCTAAATTAAGCCAAACTGATTGCCACGAGTTTGTGAGGCATAGATTCAGGTAGAAGTGTGAGGCTTAGATTCAGGTAGAAGTGTGAGGCATAGATTCAGATAGAAGTGTGAGGCTTAGATTTGTTTTTTGTGTTTTTTTTTTTAATGACAAATGTGTATATTTGTTTTACTGTAAGTGAATGAATAACACAAATGTTGACTGGATGTAGTTTGAGGAGTTGAAAATGTATGAAAAGTTTCAAAACTATCTTATTCACCAGCCAATTACTGATACAATACCAGAATCTTTCTTTCTGCAAGGAGATGTATTTAAGCAAATATATAACTTAACCAGTACTTTAAATGATCTGTGCTATTGCTTTAGGTGGCTATACCAGATTTGATAAAGGCTTCAGAAGATGCAGATATACTTATATTTGTCTTACCTCATCAGTTTGTTGCCAAAACTTGTCAGCAGATGAAAGGAAAAATAAAGTCATCAGCTGTTGCAGTATCTCTTATCAAGGTAATCTTCAGTTTCCATTTAATGCTTCTTATCTCTTTTTTCTATGACTATCAGAAGTGTTTATGTGGTAGTGAAGATGTACTTTTTTTTAACCTTATAGCTGTTTAAAATTTTTTACATTAACATTGGAACATACTCTAACAAATGTTGTTACTCCTGTCGTAGACCCCCAAAAAAGATTCAGTGTATGCATACACATTCCCTATGTCTGAGTAGATCTAGAGTGTCAAAAGAAAGCAAACCTGAATTATAATTGTAATTATTCAAACTTGCCAAATAAAATAGTACATATTTATAAACCAAACTCTTTGATGATAACATAGAATGAATTTCATAACAGTGTGGACATGATCACCTGATATCTAAATGATATCGTGTCGGTCACTGGCTATCGACAACAAAGACCACGCAATTACAGTATGTCAGGGGCCTCTCCATTGGGATAAACATAATTCCTATTTTACAATGTCCATTCATAATTTTTTTTTTTGCATGAAAGTTTATAGGAATTTGTTTTGAAGATATTTATATACTTACTTTTGGTTGTGAGTATAAAAAAATATTCAAAACAAATTCTTATAAACTTTCATGCAAACACTTTTATTTTATGAATGGATATGTTTAAAGATAGTAATTATGTATATTCCCATTGAGAGGCCCCTGACATACAGTAATTGCGTGAAGTCTTTGTTGTCGACAGCCAGTGATACACACAATGACATTTAATTACTATGTGTCCATGTCCACACGGTTATGAAATTCATTCTAGACTTTATATTCCACAAAACTGATGGTTGAAATTGCAGGCGTTACACATAATAAAATTAGACAATATTTGATATAACTCACATTAGTCACTGAATTTAAGGAAGCTTGTCAGGTATTTTTTTCAGTTTTACTCATTTGTACAAGTCAGTGATCTGTTAAATTTAATCCTTGATACATTGATTGATATATGTTTAGGGTGTTTCCATTGATGATTCGGGGATGAGAATGATATCCAGTGTGATTAAGGAAGTTCTAGGTATTGAATGTTGTGCATTGATGGGAGCTAATCTGGCTGGAGAGGTAGCTCAGGAGCAGTTTTGTGAAACAACAATAGGTATACTAGCACTATACTGGCAAATTTCATTCAAAAGGTTCAAAACATGTGACTTCTCTATACAAATACTCGTGTAAACCTTAAGGTGGTACCAAACACCTTGACTAAAATTAATTTGGCTGTTTAATTTTCATGAAATTGTGACAAAATATTTACCTTGATCCTTTGACAAAAATATAAAAATTGAAAAAAAACTTGAACCACCCACACTATCGGAAAAATTCATTGGATATATAGCAGTTTGGCAAACACTTATTTTAATCATTGAGGAGCTTAATATTTCCTTAACAATAGAATGTGATTAAAGCGTTCAACAGATTTTTACAGAGTTAATTCCCTGTAGTGTTATGTACCACCTTAAGACAGGTTTAAGGAATTAGTTAATTGTTTTAAACAAAAAATGGTGAATTTATAAACCTGTAGTTTGTTTTTAAAAGGGACAAATCTTTTATAAAAAAATCCATTTTGGTTTAAACCAAACTACACTGAAACTGACATCATTAAAATCCTTTGGTTTTATTTTGTATTGAAAGCAAAGGAGTAGGTCCGGTAAGGGCCGATTTTGGTCTCAAAATTCAGGTTCATCTGATGAAAGATTTTGGACACTTTTTAAACACTTAAGTGTCTACTTCAGTCGATTCAATTAGTTTATGTGAAAGATTTGAACTGATTTAGTCATTAAAGACGCTCAAATTCAAGCTTAAATATGAAAAATCTATCAAATATGCCATAATATGTCAGTTTTCAGATGGTTTTTGTCAACAATGAAAGTGGCCGCATCCGTGTTCATTCTCAACCTTTATATATGTTATGTATTATCATCAAATACAACTTACATTTAAATATAAAGAATGAACACGAATGCGGCCACTTCCATTTCAGACGGAAACCGTCTAAAAATTAACCAAAATGCTAAAATTTCGAAGATTTCAGTAATTTAGCATGACTTAATGATGCTAGTACCCGATACATGTGCATTGTATTGTCAAAAACAGCCCATATTTATGTAATAGAAGTATTCTTCTTTCCAATAAATAGCTAAAAATTTACATTTTAACAATTTTGTAAAAACTGCTTTATTTTGGGGCCAAAAAGGGGTTTTACTGGGCCTACTCCTTTTTAATGTTTGCTGATTGTGTCCCTATTATGACATTAAGATTGAGTGTGGATTTGCATGGCAGGTGATGTATGTTTTGTTATTGTGTCCTATTATGACATTAAGATTGAGTGTGGATTTGCATGGCAGGTGATGTATGTTTGCTGATTGTGTCCCTATTATGACATTAAGATTGAGTGTGGATTTGCATGGCAGGTGATGTATGTTTTGTTATTGTGTCCTATTATGACATTAAGATTGAGTGTGGATTTGCATGGCAGGTGATGTATGCATAACAGGAAATACTTTACCCGTCAACACACCTGGTCTTGCTTCTTTGGAGTTCATACAATTATGATAGTTTTTGGTTTTTTATTTTACCTTAATTTGTATTTATCTTTTTGGTGGATTTATGAGATTTGAAGATTGGTAAACTACAGTATATAACTGTTGCCTCTAATTATAATGTGAACCAACTGTACTTTTCTTCTCACAGACTATTACCTTTATTTGTATCAAACATTTTTCAATGTGATAGGGGTCTGTCAAGAAAATGGTAACAGCAGGCATTATCTATTAACTTTATGGTCTGCTATAAAGATGATATACTTTTGAAGTTGTAATATTGGATGTACTTTTGTGTAATAACCAAGTTATTGTACTTATATGAAAATAAGGAGATGCTGTATGATTACCAATGAGACAACTTTCCAATGAAAGACTAATGAAGAACAAGATTGGAAACAACTAAAGGTCCCCTTATATATAATTACAGCCTTCAACAATGAGCTAAACACAAACTGTCATCATCGTTACTTGTAAAAGAGGCCATATAATAATACAAAAGTTAAAATTAATTGCCTGATTTAAGCTAATAACATTAAATGAAAATGAAATATGATAGATAACTAACAACAACAATAATTGGACTATAAACTCTAGAATGTGGCACAGTTAAACTTAGTTAGACTGAGTTATTCACAGATAATGAAAACTAGATCTTAAAGCTCAATCTAAATGTATACTGTTTTAGCATTAATCATGCTAACATGGCTAATATGTTTACCAAATTACACAATTTCTTCACCTTAGATAAAGGAAACCAATTCAGGTCAACAATGATGGAAATTTGACAAAGTTTCTGGAATTCATTCCTTGCACATGCTGCAATTAATTTGAAAAAAACATGATGTGCCTAAAATCATATTTTTCTCTCTCAAAGAACCATATCGTCTTACCCCAATATTATATTTGTGTTTAGTAAGTCTTACCCCAATATTATATTTGTGTTTAGTAACAGTTAGTTATGACAAGTTTTTCAAATGGGCAGCAGTGGTGTATTACTTTCAGTATAGAGTTTATTAAGATAATTTGATTACATATGTTTTTTATGCCCCCGCTGTAGGGCAATGGGGGCATAAAGTGTTATCTTTGAACATCCTTCTGTCCATCTGTCCCATTTTCATTTCCGCACTCTAACTTTAGTTTGTGTTATGAAACTTATACACAATGCTAAGAACCACAACATGCAGACACAGTTCGAATTTGGGCTATGAGTCATTTACTGTACAAGACTTAAAGAGTTATGCCCTTTTTAATTTGAAATATTGCAAAGCTTGAGCGGGGGTATTCATGTCCTCAGACACATTCTTCTTTTATTTCATAAGCAGTACAATATACAATGTATAACTATAACAAGTTGGTCACTTTTCTGACACTTACACTAGAGAAATCATTGAACTTGGATTGACAGAATATTTTCATTACACCTGCCTTATACCAATAAAAACTTTTCTCTAGCAATTATTTTAGTTACTTTTTGCCCATTGTTATTGTGAAAGGACAAAGCATCTAGCACAGTAAAACTATATTAATCAGAAATTTGAAAAATTGATAGTTTTCAACAATCTTTATTTTTTTAGAATTAAGTACTATCTGTATATATATTGTTTTTAAGGATGTGCAGTAAATGGCACAGGAGAATTATTGAAGTCCCTGTTTGAGACTCCATATTTCAGATGTTCAGTAGTAACAGATCAAGCAACAGTGGAATTATGTGGTGCTCTTAAGGTATATATGTACTTTTGTTTTATTAGCTTGACTTCATATTTTGAATCAAAGAAAAATTGTAAAATGATCAGAAATTGGGCCATGTGCATCTGTTATAATGTACACAGGAAATATTAGTAGGAACACTATGCATGTGCTACCTTAGCCACACTTTGAAAGTAGAAAATTCAACATTTTTTATGGTCATCCATGCATAGAAATTTAGCCTTACCCACTTTTTACCATAACTTGAAACTATATTTGAACATTTACTTAGAAGTTACTTTCTGCAATGTATTTTCTTGAGGTTTGGCAATGCGTATTTGGTTTGTTGTAACATGTCAAAAATTCATTGGAAGTGCTTGATAAATTGCATGCTCATATTGGTGATTTTGAATCTGTTCAAATTTTTGATTTTTCTACCCTATATACCACTTTGCCTCATTTTCTTATTAAGAAAAAATTCACACATCTAATTAAATGGGCATTTAAAAAGTCAGAATGTGAATATATATGTTCAAACTCTTTTAGATCATTTTTTAGTAACAACAAACAAAAGAACTATGTCAATTGGACCTGCTTTGATACGATAACTGCCCTTGAATTTTTGTCAAGCCTTCGACTTTAGTCGAAAAAGCGAGACATAGCGATCCTACATTCCGTTGTCGTTGTTGTTGGCGGCGTCCACAAATATTCACTCTGGTTAAAGTTTTTGAAATTTTAATAACTTTCTTAAACTATCCTGGATTTCTACCAAACTTGGACTGAAGCTTGTTTATGATCATAAGATAGTATCCAGAAGTAAATTTTGTATAAATAAAATTCCATTTTTTCCGTATTTTACTTATAAATGGACTTAGTTTTTCTGCCGGGAAATATTACATTCACTCTGTGGTTAAAGTTTTTAAAATTTTAATAACTTTCTTAAACTATCCTGGGTTTCTACCAAACTTGAACAGAAGCTTGTTTATGATCTTAAGATAGTATCCAGAAGTAAATTTTGTAAAAAAAAAAATCCATTTTTTCCTTATTTTACTTTTAAATGGACTTAGATTTTCTGCCAGGAAACAACACATTCACTCTGTGGTAAAAGTTTTTAAAATTTTAATAATTTTCTTTTACTATTTTGGATTTGTACCAAACTTGGACAGAAGCTTGTTTATGATCAAAAGCTAGTATCTAGAAGGAAATTTTGTAAAAAAAATAAATCCATTTTTTTTGTATTTTACTTTTAATGGACTTAGATTTTCTGCCAGGAAACAACACATTCACTCTGTGGTTAAAGTTTTTAAAATTTTAATAACTTTTTATACTATTTTGGATTTGTACCAAACTTGGACAGAAGCTTGTTTATGATCAAATGCTAGTATCTAGAAGGAAATTTTGTTTTCTTCCAGTTAACATTACATTCAGTCTGCAGTTAAAGTTTTTAAACATTTATTAGATTCATAAACTATCCCGGATTTTTACCAAACTTGGACAGAAGCTTCTTACAATCAAAAGATAGTATCAAGAGGAATATTTTTATTGATTTACTTCCTCATTTTTGTTGAGCCTGCGATTAACAGAAAAAGTAGGCGAGACACTGGGTTCCGCGGAACCCTTACGAATTTTTACTAGATAATGTTTTTGCTCACTATGGAGGTTCCGTATATCATCAAATTATTGGAATCTCAATGGGTACTGACTGTGCACCACTTATTGCGGACCTGTTTCTGTATTGTTATGAGTTACAATTTATGATTAAAATCAGCAAAGACCCATCGAAACAACATCTGATACAAAAATTTAATAACACTTTTAGATATTTGGATGATATATTGGCTCTCAGTAATCACGACTTCAGTATGTACACGAAAGAGATTAATCCTGCTGAACTGACTTTAAATAAAGCTAATACTAACAATGAACACTGCCCTTTTCTGGATCTTGATATTTATATCTTTAATGGGAAGCTTAATACCAAAATTTATGATAAAAGAGATCATTTTTCATTTCCTATTGTGAATTATCCATTCTTAGATGGTGACATTCCCTTGTCACCATCTTATGGTGTTTATATATCTCAACTTGTTCGATTCGCTCGTGTATGTAACAACGTATTTGATTTTAACGAAAGAAATCTCTGTATTACTGAAAAATTATTACACCAGGGTTTTCGATATCACAAACTAGTCAAAACAATTACTAAATTTATCATCGGTACTTATCATCGGTACAAGGACATCATTCGTAAATATATATCAACATGCTGACATCTTATACATTCAGGTATTTCTTATCCAATCTTTTATGGTAATATTCTATACAAAGCACAAAAATGTCGGCATTCACCTCAAAAGCTAACCAAACCTTTAAACAGACTTATTAAGAAGGGTCATAGTTACGATACAGTTGTCAGGTCATTAAAGATGGCATATTTTGGTATTAATATTCATTACTATTGATTCACTCATAGGGTCTTTGCATCGGAAATAAACACATTTATTCTAAAACCAGTTGTTGGCATGATATGATGGTACGATACTAATACCAATTTTTTCATATGATGAAGACATAATCTTTCAATCAGTTTAATTGAGATGTGGAGCTGGCATGTCAGTAACTGCTAGTAGTCCTTTGTTAATTTATGTATCATTGTCATTTTTGTTAGTTTCTTTTCTTACCTATTCTGACATCGGACTCGGACTTCTTTTAAACTGAGTTTTACTGTGCGTATTGCTGTGTGTTTGTTTATTCTACATTGGCTAGAGGTATAGGGGGAGGGTTGAGATCTCACAAAACATGTTGAACCCTGCCTCATTTTTGCACCTGTCCCAAGTCAGGAGCCTCTGGCCTTTGTTAGTCTTGTATGTTTTTTAATTTTATTTCATTTATATGTTTTGGGGTTTAGTGTGACGTCCATTTTTACTGAACTAGTACACATTTTTGTTTAGGGGCCAGCTGAAGCCCGCCTATGGGTGCAGGATTGTCTCACTGTTTTGAAGACCCATTGGTGGCCTTCGGCTGTTTTTTGCTCTTTGGTCGGGTTGTTGTCTCTTTGACACATTCCCAGTTTCCATTCTCAATTTTAGATATTTTGCAATGGATGTTACTTTATTTGAATATATTATTTTGGGCCAAGTAAGCCCCAAATCAAATGTATTTCTACAATTTAGGGAATTAAATGTTGAATGTGTGTACATTAATAAAACAAGGCTATTTTGAAAAAAATATTACCTTTTTATTGGTTCTTCAATAATGAAGTCATGATAAACTAGTAAAATTGTCAAATTACACAAAATCTCAATGATTTGATGCACACATGCAGAAAAAAAAAAAGACAGCAAGAAGTGTTGTTTTCAGTTATCTACTCACTGATTTTTTGTTCGCTTGTAAGTAAAACTATCCTGAAAATTGTTTGTCAAATAGTGACACCAAGTCTCAATTTATTTCTACATTTGTTAAGCTTATATTCTAAAATTCAAGAAATGAAATCAATAAATCATCATACAAATAGTATTTTCAGCAGATTTACAGGGTTTTATAAATGTCACATGTACTGACTTTTTTATTGGAATAATTAAATTTAAAGGAGTAGGTTCGATAACACCCTAAAACGGCCCCTATTTCTAGCTACAATTTCAAATTAGGATTTATTGACTAATATCACAATGAATCATAGCTAATACAATGACTAGATAAAAAATATGTCTTTTTGTTGAAAATTTACGTACTTGCATTCTATTCATGATGTCACAAATAGCACTCATTTTGATTTTCAACGAAAATTCAAGAAAACGGGTAAATTTCCAATGATTTTTTGGACAGGAAACATAGAGAGCATGCGTCGACAAAAAAGCCTTTTTAACAAAATGTTTGTTATCACATTTTAGATATCTGACTTGAATACTTAGTTTGTCGACGCCTGCACTCTATGTTTCCTACGCCTTAATTTGGTTGAAATATGGACGATTTGGTCAAATTTCGCAAAAATCTCCATTTTTGACCTGTTTGGGATGTAAAAATCAACGCTTTTAAAACTAAAACTTTGACAAATAAGTTCTATTCAACTTTTTCACATATCTTTTTATCACTTTAAAACATTTATTATCTTGAAACATTAAACTTAATAATCGGGGCCAAATATGACCCTTATCGAACTTACTCCTTTTCTACTGATGATTAAAACTTTTTGCAGAACATTGTAGGTATTGGTGCTGGTATAGCTGATGGTCTGGGACACGGAGATAACACAAAGGCAGCAGTAATCAGACTTGGTCTGATGGAGATGATCAAATTCTCAGAAATATTTATTCCAGGTTTGTCAAAAGATAAATACTAGTCACATGAAAAATTTATCTCTTACACAATATTGCAAGATTTATAGTTTGAATTGCTGTTGTTGGTCAATATAAGTGAATAAAAAATAAGTGTTTTACTAGAAAATTCATATAAATCATTCCTTTGTTTTTATACGACCGCAAAAAATTTGCGTTCGTATAATGCTATCATGTCGGCGTCGGCGTCCGAAGACACATTTGGTTTCCGGACAATAACTTTAGTTTAAGTGAGTGGATCTCTATGAAATTTTAGCAGAAGGTTCAATACCACCAAAGGATGGTTGGGATTGATTTTGGGGGTTATGGTACCAACAGATTAGGAATTAAGGGCAAAAACAAGCATTTTTGTAGTTTCCAGACAAAAATTTTTTGGAAAAAAAATTTTGGGGGGGGGGGGGGGGTTTTACAATTTTTTTTTTAAGGGGATTATACTTTTCAAATTTCAAATTTTCAAAAAAAAAAATTTTTTGGGGGGGGGGGGGAGGGATAAATTTTTTGGGGTTTTTTTTTTTTTTTTTTCAAAAATTTTCGATTTTTACATTGATTATTTCTGATTTTTATATAAAAGCAACAAATACTGATATGGCAGGAGATACACACCAAACAGGGTGTGTAAATTATTATATATAAATAAAGGCAACAGTAGTATACCGCTGTTCGAAATTCATAAATCAATTGAGAAAAAAACAAATATATATATATAACAGATTAACTAAGAACTGTGCAACAACACAGTAATGTGCAATAGCACAGTATTGCGCAATAGCAAGAAATCTTCAATTGAAAATAAATACAAATATTTTAACAAATTTCAATGGGATTAATTTAAAGTCTTTAATTTTTGGGGGTTATAACCTTGTATTACTATTTTGGTTATTGGGCCCCGGGCCCATTTTTAAATTGGTCTACATTGAGGTCCAAAAGGTCCAAAATTAAAATTTGTTTGATTTCATCAAAAACTGATTTATTGCGGCTCTATGATATGCTGAATCTTATTGTGAATTTAGATTTTTTATTTTGGGCCCTGTTTTTCAAGTTAGTCCATATTAAGGTTTGAAGGTTCCAAAATTAAACTTTGTTTGATTTCAACTAAAATTAAATTTTATGCTTGAAAATATATCAAAACACATTATTTGTATGCGATATTTCCTGAAATTGCTTTAAATAATCTCACATTTTTGTCCATCGTTCAACAATTGCAATAATAAATGAACACAAAAATTTCTGAACTACACCGCTAGGGCGAGATGATATTCAAGCTGATGAAGTCAATATCAAAAAATAAAAATGCCATTATTTGTTTTATCGGCAATTTGTCTAAAAAAAAATAATTTTTTTGTTGAGAATATGAAATATGTTTGTTGAGAATATAAAATAATTTTTTTTAGTAAAACTACTTTTACACGTACAGAATATTTTGATAGTTGTTCAGTTGTATGAATGAAGTCGCGTGCATTTCATTGATGAATTGATGAAGATGGACATGAACAGGTGACGTTGCTACACTGTTCTCTGACGTCATTGCCTATATATTTTCGAGTATCTGATCCTGTCCATGATATAGAAAAATATTAGGCAGTAAGATCAAAGCGAAAATGTACAAATTGCTCGATAAAGGGTAATATTACATTAACTTCAACATTACCAAAATAGGAAATCAGATTATATGATATGTGCAAATCTATACAAAGAGATTAAAGGGCAGATATTTTTTAACCTTAAAAAAGGTTTTGTTAATATATGTTTGATATGAACCAATATAGATATTCTGTAAACAATCAGCATATTTTTTGTAGGTTCACAAAGATCTACATTTTTTGAAAGTTGTGGCATATCTGATCTGGTGGCAACCTGTCATGGTGGAAGGAATAGAATGTTAGGTGAACATATCGTTAAATCTGATAAGGTAAGATGTCACATGGATGCAATGTGATTCTTCCTTAAATCTGATAAGGTAAGATGTCACATGGATGCAATGTGATTCTTCCTTAAATCTGATAAGGTAAGATGTCACATGAATGCAATGTGATTTTTCCTTAAATCTGTTAAGGTAAGATGTCACATGAATGCAATGTGATTTTTCCTTAAATCTGATAAGGTAAGATGTCACATGGATGCAATGTGATTCTTCCTTAAATCTGATAAGGTAAGATGTCACATGAATGCAATGTGATTTTTCCTTAAATCTGATAAGGTAAGATGTCACATGAATGCAATGTGATTTTTCCTTAAATCTGATAAGGTAAGATGTCACATGAATGCAATGTGATTTTTCCTTAAATCTGATAAGGTAAGATGTCACATGGGTGTAATGTGATTTTTTCTTAAATCTGATAAGAAAATAAGAGGTACTGATGTCACATGACTTGCAAGGTAAAGTAAAATCTTGTATTGATCCATTCCATTGTTCTGCAAAATTTTTAAAAATGTTAGGTAAAAATTAAGTAACATGCAACTTCAATTGTCGAGTTTGGTTAAAAGAAAACTAAATATTTCATTGCTAACATGATTTGAAACTAACTTATAAAACAAATAAGATTGAATATGATTTAAAAGAAATACGATTTTTTTTAATATTGTTATTTGTAGGAAGGAAAAGTAAGTGCATTTTATATCTAATGAGTTATTTGATTTCTTTATTATCATTGTTTGTTTTAAATTTCCAGTTTTTCATTGAAAATAGACCTGTTGCTTAGTAAATTTGTTTCAGTTAGAACAATAAAATGCTTTTAGTTTGAGATTCCCGTTGCTTGAGTAGTTCATTGCCTGTTAAGAAGTGTATTTTCAAAATGAACATGTTTATGTGTATCTTCTGTGTTGATGGATTTCAACATAAATATCAAGGATGAAATGTCCTCTCATTATCTAGGCAAATAACAAATACATGGCTATTCCTAATTTCTTGGTTTTCCCTCATGAGTTGCAATATAGATGAAGATATTATTCTACTCTGAAACAACTTTATTGAACTAAATTTTGCCTAAAACATCATTAGCTTTTAGAATTATAACATTGTTGACAAACTATCATGAGTGCCATAATTAATGTAAGTAAAAGAAAGAAAAAAAACCCAGAGAAAACAAATCATGCAAATGAGCAGCAGTAATAAAAGTAAAATTATGTTCAAGAATTTTTCTGTGAATTTATGAGTTTTCCGTTGAGTAGCTTTGCATATTCATTTATTTCAGGTGTGTAGATTTTCACAGATAATTTTTTTGGTGTGTGGCAAGTTTTGATTAGCTTGAAAATATTTCATGGCTAGTAACGAAAATTTTGTAGTAATGACCACCTTTAAAAATAATCATATGCTTCATCAGTCTTTTTATCAGTCTTTATTCCTATCTCAAACGTTTCCGCTCTGTATTATAATTTAATTGATGACTGAGCACATTATCATAATCAATTAATTACCGTTATTTAGTTTGTGATATCATAACCTCCAATTCATTTTAAGTTAATATATATGAGAGAAATTCAGCGGTTTACATATTCTTTGTACTTATTACATGTATCAGTGAGAGCAGGTCTAGTAATGTTCTATTCTTTCTATCTAACCATGAAAAACACATGCGTGGCTCAAATTAATAGTTTTCCTTTAACAATAATTCCAAACAGATTAAAGATGTGAGCCGCCTATATTTTAATTTTTTTTTTCAAGATTCCCATGTATGGAATAATCATTTTAGTTATTGACTGCTATAGATGTTACCTAGTTTGAACCATTTGTAATTTCATCAGTTTTCCAACAACATTGTTCTAACTTTGCATTTAGGGCAAAATGGGGAATTTTTTTCTTCATGTTTAGAATATTTCCCAGACCTTTTATTAAGTAAAAAATAATTGTGATCTGCTAATCTTTTCATTGAATAACCTGTTTGCTTACTTAAGACAGAGGTATTCATCTGCGTACTACAGATTACATAAATGTAATTATACGACCGCAAAAAAAATTTTGCGTCGTATAATGCTATGATGTTGTCGTCGTCGTCGTCGTCGTCAGAAGACACATTTGGTTTCCAGACAATAACTTTAGTTTAAGTGAATGGATCTCTAAGAAATTTTACCAGAAGGTTCAATACCACAAAAGGAAGGTTGGGATATTTGGGGTTATGGTACCAACAGTTTAGGAATTAGGGGCCAAAAAGGGGCCAAAAACAAGCATTTTTGTAGTTTCCAGACAATAACTTGTGTGTAAGTGTATGGATCTCTCTGAAATTGTACCACAAGGTTCCATATCACAAAGGGAAGGCTGGGATTGAGTTTGGGAATAATTGCCCCAAAGGTTCAGGAATTGGGGGCACAAAAGGGGCCAAAAACAAGCATTTTTCTAGTTTCCAGACAATAACTTGTGTTTAAGTGTATGGATCTCTCTAAAATTGTACGACAAGGTTCCATACCACAAAGGGAAGGCTGGGATTGAGTTTGGGGGTAATTACTCCATGGGGAGTTCAAAAAACTTTTGGGGGATTTTTTTTCCCAATTATTTTGGGGTGTTCTTTTTTTTTTTCTTCAAATTTTGAAATTTCAAATAATTGCACAGTATTGGGCAACAGCAAGAAATTTTCAATTGCACAGTATTGGGCTATAGCACAGTATTGCACAATAGCACACTATTGCGCAATAGCAAGAAATCTTCAATTGCACAGTATTGCGCAACAACACAGTATTGTGCAATAGCAATAAATCTTCAATTGCACAGTATTGCGCTATTAGCACAGTATTGCACAAAGCACAGTATTGCGCAATAGCAAGAAATCTTCAATTGGACAGTATTACACAATAGCAAGAAATCTCCAATTACACAGTATAGGGCAATAGTAAGAAATCTTCAATTGCACAATAGCAAGAAGTCTTCAATTGCATGGTATTGCACAATAGCACAGTATTGCGCAATAGCAAAAAATTTTCAATTGAAAATAAATACAAATCTTTTAACCAATTTCAATGGGATTAATTTAAAGTCTTTAATTTTTGGGGGTTCTAACCTTGTTTTACTTTTTTGGATATCAGACCATTCTAGGTAAATTAAATGTCCCATTTCATATTTTTAAGATCTTTGACCACATTTATTATGTGTCAGAAACCTATATTATGTCAAAAATTTGATCACAATCCAAATTCAGACAGTATCAAGATTGAATATTGTGTCCAAACTTGCCCCAACTGTTCAGGGTTCGACCTCTGCGGTCGTATCAGGCTGCACTCAGCGAAGCATTTTATTTTTTTTCTCAAAAAAAACCCCATACACCTTATAAATCATGCTATTATTAGTTCTATATGAATAGCTTCAGTGATAAGAAGATAAAACTATTCTTTAATCTGCTAATTTTCTTTACTACGGTACCATGGGAAGTAAAATATTAATGCAAATTGATTTGTTGCATCTATTATAATTTAGAAAAAAATTGTATTTGAGTATTGTTATAATTGTTGCCTTTATTTGGACAACAATAGTTTTTAGATAAATTCAATCAATGCCTGAATATCTTTGCCAGTATTTATTACAAAATAATAACTAAACTATCTTCAGGAAATAGAAATTATATTATCATTAAATCAATACAATAAATAGAAGTACAATAAATATGTTTTTAACGGTTTTCGGTATTTGTGTTTGTATGTCAAAGTATTTACCTATATTCTCTGATGCTCAGTTCAAATTTGTTTTGACAGTTTGAAATCCCCATTTTAAATGACCAAGCATTTATCATTGCGTTTAAAAAAATTGGTCGTTAGCTTTCATGGTTAATCATGTGTAAATACTGTCAGCGAGTACATAAATATTGGATTATATAGAAAGTAAGCATGATTTCATTCGTCTAAATATCAATTTAGGAATATAAAACAGGTAAATGCAGTTACTAATGAAATGTATGAAGAATAACAAGAGTGAAAACAACATTTGTCATTTGAATGCAATGAGTTGGCGGAATTTCTTACGCAAAATAGGAAACTGTAAAATTTGCCAGGAACAATATTTCCATCAAAACTATCAAAGTATAATTAAACGTTCATAACAAGTATTTTCCCAAATTTTGTTTACAGCTTAAGGCTGTCCTTCAAAACTGCACCTTGCATCTCAGGTCAACCCATGGCATTGTTCTTGTTGGATAAAAAAGAAATTGCTTGACTAAATTTGTGAGCTTGAACTTGGAACCTTTTTATACGACTGCAAAAAAATTTTGTGGTCGTATATTGGTATCACGTCGTCTGAATACATTTGGTTTCCGGACAATAACTTAAGTTTAAGTGTATGGATCTCTAAGAAATTTGACCAAAAGGTTCAATACCACAAAAGGAAGGTTGGGATTGTTTTTGGGGGTGATGGTCCCAACCGTTTAGGAATTAGGGGCCAAAACAAGTATTATTTTCTAGTTTCAGGACCATAACTTGTGTATAAGTATTTTGATTGCTCTGAAGTTGTACCACAAGGTTCAATACCACAAGTAGAAGGATGGGATTCATTTTGGGCGTAATTGCCCAAACCGTTCAGGAATTAGGGGCCAAAAAGGGTCTAAAACATGCATTTTTCTAGTTTTCAGACAATAACTTGTGTTTAAGCAATGGATGTTTAATTTGTACCACATTTTACAAAAAGAAAATTTCTTCAAAATTAATTTTTTTGGAAGAGGGGGGAGGGGTAAACATTTTTTTTGGGGGGCAATCTTTTTTCCTCAAAAGAAAATTCTCTTCAAATATTATAATTTTTTTTTTCCCTCAAGATTTAAGAAATTGTCAATTTTCCAAAGAAAAAAATTGGGGGTCACAATTTATTTTGCTAATTCTTTGTATATAGTCTGAAAACAGATTTACTAAGTATTGCGCAACAGCACAGTGTATTGCACAACAGCAAGAAATCTTCAATTGAATATAAATTCAAATCATACAACCAATTTCAAGTTCTTCGACTTCATTTATTCTGTGTCAAAAACCTATAATGTGTCAAATATTTAATTACAATCCAAATCCAGACCTGTATCAAGCTTGAATATTGTGTCCATTTTTGTCCCAACTGTTCAGGGTTGGACCTCTGCGGTTGTATCCAGCTGCGCTTGGCGAAGCAGTTTATTATCAAGTGGAGAAATATTTAAACTTGTTATGTATTCCTCTGCTCCAAAGGAGGTTGGTATACTAGTTTACCTTTTTCCATTCTTCCATCCATCTCTCAGTCTCATATTTTTGTCACATTTTTCTCAGGAACAACAAGTTATAAATTCTTAATATTTGGTACCAAGCCTCATTCAGACTATGCCATACTGTACAACATATTTTTAGTTTCCTCAATGTTCTACTTCCTGTTACTGTAAATTCAGAAATTATTAGGAGATTTTTATTAATGGGAATAATGCAGCTGGGTAGGTAGCACAATAATGAGAACTCACATTCTGATATCTGATGCATACATCTGTATGCAGCTTTTCCTGAAATTGCAAAAATTAATCTCGCATTTAGGTACATTGTTCAAAAATCGCAATAATAAATACACACAATGATTTCTGAATTTACAGTTACTGAAAAAAAAAACATCTTTAATGTTTCATGCACACAATTTTTTCATGTGCACTACATTTTTGTCTGTTTTAAATCTGTTTTTTTATTATTTACAATCTCGCATTTAGGTACATTCTTCAAAAATCGCAATAATATATACACACAATAATTTCTGAATTTACAGTTACTGAAAAAAAAAACATCTTTGAAGTTTCATGCACACAATTTTTTCATGTGCACTACATTTTTGTCTGTTTAAAATCTGTTTTTTTTTATTATTTACAGAGTACATGAATTTATACATACAGTACAGACTTGCGCTTTGTCAGTTTTGTTTTGTTGAATTTTTTTCACAAAGAATTTGATCATTTTAGGGTGAAATTCAGCATATTAAACAACTTTATTTCTAAGCCCTCCTAGCAGGATTCACAGCTATTTCTTTTGCGCTTTTCATGTATTTCTGATGTATTTATAGAAGGGTCGATAATTTTGCTTTTAAACAAAATTTGAAAAAATAATTAACCCTTTGAAAATTTACACTTAGTCCATTTTTGTTGCTCTGTATTCTTAAACAGTTAATATGATTTATTTTGTTTTACAGACAGTTAAACAATTAGAAAAAGAGTTACTGAAAGGTCAGAGCTTTCAAGGACCCTTAGCTGCTAGAGAAATTTTCAAAATGTTAAAAGATAAAAATCTAATTGAAAGGTAAGTTATCAGTCACATTTTATGCCCCCGCTGTCACCGAAGGAGACATTAAGTGTTACCCTTGTCTGTCCGTCTGTACGTACGTCCCAAAAGTGGTTTCCGTTCTGTAACTTTATTTTGCTTCAACCAAATGTTATGAAACTTATACACAATGCTTATTACCCCAAAACACAGATCAAGTTTCGAATTTTGGTGGCGTCACTTTGACCGTTCTCAAGTTATGCCCCTTTATAATGTTACATGCAAGCGGATGGATTATCTGTGTCCCATGGACATATTCTCCATTTATTTCAATCTAAATATTTACATGGGAATCAACTTTAGTTTTAGAATTTCTATTACTGTGATCAGAGCTCCATTAACTGTTATCAGTTAAGAACTTTTTATATTCCTTTTTTTCAAAGGTATCGCATATGATTTTTCTGATAGCAATCTGTCTGCCATCAATTTTAACGAATTCAAAATCATTTAGATTTGCACCTGAAAGGAATTAAAATATCCAGAATTGGTAGTTATGCGAAAGATTCCATTTTTGCCATGCCTGCAAAAATATCAATAAATTTTGAAACATGCATTGGTGGCAGTGGTGGCACATAATAATGCATCCTTGACAAGATCATGGTTGTTTTTTTTTTCAGTTTTATGGAAGTTTCTATACAAATAATCTCATTTGGATGTGATCAGAAAAAAAAACATATCCAATCAGAGATCTTTCATTCTGATTGGTGAATTTTCTAATATTTTCTCCTGAAACTGTATAACATAATTTTTCAAAAGCTGTAGGGGATTAATGATTGGAAGATTCTCTACCTATATATTATCTATGGCTTTGAAAAAGAAAGGGAGATTTTCAGCTACAATCTCATAGAAAGGTAATCACCTTAGTGTATTTATGCCATCTAAAAATAACAAAACATAGAACCATTTACAAACATAAAACAGGCCACAGATGTTGCAGCATGTATGGTTACAGTTAGAAAGTTTTGTAGAATTCCTTTTCATTACTGTATTTGCCTTTTCTTCTTTAATTTATCATTTTAGATAAAAAATCTTATACTCAAGAGACTTGAATAGATTTAGTTTATTCTCATTATTGTTCTTTTTCAGGTTTCCTTTATTTGTGTCAGTGCATTATATCTGTTTACGAGAATCTCAACCTGAAGAGTTCATTGATTGTTTACGTAACCACCCAGAACATATATGAAATATTTAAACATTATTTACAATTATTTATCTGCTTCACTACACATTTCCCAAATGTTCTATTGATGTTATGTTTTATTTATTAGCAGTACAGGATTTTACACCACTTAACTTCTATACATTATAAAACAGTATGGTTTGTTATTTGTTGACAGTGCAAGATCAGTTTTAAACTATTTAGATAAATTTTATATAATATGCTGGACATGTTCATTCACCTGGCCCAAAGGAGCATCAGATATTTTGTCACCATTTCTCTGCTGTGATCCTCAAACTTTTTCTTCACAAAGATTTTTTCGTATGGTGTTTTTATTATATTAATTACATATAGCAGCATTATATAGTAACATATATAAAAATTAAGGAACTTATATAAACAAAGCTGGAAAAAAAACACTGGTATAAGTGGGCTTTCAATATTTTTTTCTTAATAAGTATTTATAACCATCTGCATCCTCTTTGTTCAAAGGTTTGATATGAAATGATTAATATTTTCCCAGGTTTTCCAATGGAAAAAGCTTGTACTAGATGGAGAAACATGGCAGTCAGGTGGCTGCAAACTGTTTCTGTGGAATAATTCTAAAATTAGTTGTCGCAAAAGATCTTTTGACTAAAATTGAGCATAAGTTATACTTTAATTGTACATGACTAACAAGTATTTTTTCTCACAAGATTTTTTTCTGAAATTGATCACTGTTGAAAAGATATTTTCAGACTGGCATTGTATGTTTCAGAAAATCAATTCTTACCTATGTCCTTCCGTGCCATGCTCCTTGATTGTTGAAAATAATGCCTTTTTCTGTAATTGCTGAATTAAAACTTTAGAATTAGCTTTATTCTAACTATAGACAAAATGGAGGTAATATTTATTTTGACTTTTTTTTGTTTTAATGGTAGTTTATAAATTCTTTAATTGATGACAAATGAATGACATTTAATTTGATTCAAGATATTTTGTGCAAACAGATCATTTGTGCTACCTTCAATCTCTTAATATTTGCAATGTATCTCCTTTCATCAAAAAGCAGCCACAGTTCTTGCCCTAAACATTCAGACATGGTATAGTATTTGACAAAACTTAGAAATATATGACAGCTTTAATTAAATATTATTTAAAATAACCTGTTTGTTACTGGTAATGATATCAGCAGTGATTTATTAAAGTTCTAGGTGAATAGTTTATCAAGAACAGGCTGTTCTACATGTTTCAGTTTAAAATTTGGCATAAATAATATGGTGCTTTTCTGTGAAAATCACAAATAATATGTTTTGTTTGAAATTTTTTTCATTCACTGATCTATGCTGAACAGCTATTAAGGAAAGATTGCTTATTAAGGAAAATGATATACTTGTATGTTATTTATTTTCTCGGTTATTATCATATATAGTCTGAAAGAATTAATAATTTCATTGAATGCAGTTTGGAAGCAGAAAAAGCAATATGAAGGAAGAAAGAATTGTTAAGTAATAATATATGTAGTGATTAGAACTGTGTTTGAATGACTGTTCAGATACATTTGCTCTAAAATGTACAGTATGATGTTGAGAATTGGTTTGCTTAAAATTTGTAATTTCTGCTGCAATATCTATCTTCATTCTTGCATGGCAGTCAAAATTTTGTAAGCAGAACATATATAAAATATTTTAAATACTTAAAACATGAAAAGTTATATGTTTTGTAGTGTCATTATTTTTAATATACCAGTTGCAAAGCTTTTGTGGTTAGCAAATTTTCTGTAACCATGGAAAATGGCACCAGTTAAGACCTTTTCTTTTTCAAAAGTGCATAATATTTTATAAAAGTTTTTTTTTCTTTTATTACATTTTTGTTTACCAAATATGATGCAAAAGTCTTTATCCGTTTAAATAGTTTTGTTTGAAAAAATTGTTTAATATATACAAAATCATTGACTTTTCCTAACTTTTTTAATATATATGGAGTGATATAAAAAAAACCTGGAAATATTATGTTTAAAATGATTTTAATTGTTAATTTCAATAACCAAGTTTATTCGTTAAATTTTTAATAAAATGTTATTAGCCCATAGAAGATATGCATGGGCAAATATCTTTGTATTAACAAAACCATTTATGGTTATTCACAGCTTTCTCTTAATAGTGCAAAAAACTAATAAAAGATTTATAGAAATATTCGGAAGATGAACCTTTATGAGGTGAAGGAAACTTATGAACAAAGGTACCCAGCAAGCCACTATCATATTAATTATAAAGCAAACCCTGACCTCATTTATACCACCTCAAAGTTTCATTCCTAGACTTCTGACAAACAGGACATTATTTTTTATTAATTTTCTTTTCCTTGAGAATTACTTCTTGTTGGTTTCAATAATTTTTCGAGTTATTTTCCCACGTGCAAACAAGGGTAGAAATAAAGCTATGATGTGTACAAGCAAAATGTAAAAGTGTATTAGCCTACCAAAATCCGCAAGTTCAGATATCAGATTTTTTTTTACAAACACAGACAGATCAATTATAGAAAATTCATGAGCCTATTATATGGGATACTTTTTTGACTGCCATATTTCTTTCACAATTAAAATAATGTTCTACCCAGTCCCAAAGAGTTAGTGCGGCATACAATGCCTGTTAACATTATTTATACAATTAAAATGAATTTTGATAGTTCATTTTTGTTAATACCTGTAGTTAATCCTAAATATATTTTTCATATTTTTATATTATAACAACAAGCATAAGCTTATGGATTGTTTAAGTATTGTTATTGATATTTTATTTGTTGATGTATTGTTAATCTTATTGATAGTATTTGATAATAAAATTATTGACTGATAGATTTATTTTTTGTGCATTATTGAACAGGCAAATGTTAAAACCTGCAATGACAAAATTCATGTTGACAAAACAAAGCTATTGTGATAACTTGGCATATGTTGTCGTTGTCCATCATTGTTGTCTTAAACTTTTTAAAAGAACTATGCAACTCCTGAACCAAAAACTATTTTAACTAAGAGTTGTCTGCAAAGTGAGACTAATACCCCCCTATACATGCCTTTTAGTTGCTGCTGTGAAATTCAGTATTGAGACAATAATTCTTTGAGATATTTGGCTTTCAGCAAAAGGTTTAAGGGTCAAGGTCAAGGTCACAGTGACCTGATTTTGAGATTTGATTCATCCTGATTCCATGATGCTTCTGCATACAAAGTTTTGTCAATGTAAGTGTTATATAACAAAAGATATACACCATAAACAAATCAAACAATCTTTTACCATCATAGGGGTCATAGGTCAAAGTCAAGGTCAGTATGATGCTTTTGCATACAAAGTTTTGTCAAAGGTCAGTCAAGGTCAAAGTGACCTGAATTTGATATATGGTTCAACCCCATGCCATAATGCATCAATGATGCGACAGGAATATACTCTTAATAAGGGTCATGGTGATTCCTATATACCCCCAAAAAACTGTTAAAGGCAGAAATGATCAGCAATACAAGATCTACATAAATGCCTTTAAGACTTGAACCATTGGATCATTCCTTGAGGAGTTATTGCCCATAAATGATGATTTTTGACTAATTTTGTAGTTTTCCCTATCATCTCAAAAATTATAATAGATAGGTAGAAACTATAAACAGTAAAAATAATTAGAAATACAAAATATAACAAACAATTAATTTCAACCAAACTTGGGGTGAAGGATCATTGTGGTATCTGATATAAAGTTTGTGTTTTATTCTTTATTATTAGACAACATCTTGGCCGCCATGACTGAAAATAGAACATAAGGGTGAAATGTAATTACCTATGTCTTATTCTTGAAAATCAAAATAGATAGAGAGGGATAAAAATGATCAGAATATCAAGATCAGAGCTCTTCCAATTTTCACCAAAATTATCAGATGACTCCTTATTAAGGAGTTATTGCCATTAAAGACAAATGTTTATAAAGTTTCCTGCTTTTTGCCAATTATCCTGAAAAATAATAATAGATTGGTAGAAACTAGTATCAGCTATTTGATCAGCAAGACAAGATTTACAGAAATGACAATATGACTGAAAGCATCAGATGACTCCTTTAAGGAGTTATTTCCCTTAAATGATTTTTTTTTGGACAAAATTCTTCCCCCTCTTGTAATAATCATTAACCAATGAACCATGAAAATAAGGTCAAGGTCAGATGAACCATGCCAGACAGACATGTACACCTGACAATCAATCTATGCATTAAATACAGTTGACCTATTGCTTATAGTATCTAAGAAACAAACTGAACCATGAAAACTTAACATTGACCAATGAACCATGAAAATGAGGTCAAGGTCAGATGATACCTGCCAGACAGACATATACACCTTACAATCATTCCATACAACAAATATAGTTGACCTATTGGTTATAGTTTAAGAAAAACAGACCAAAACACAAAAACTAAACACTGAGCAATGAACCGTGAAAATGAGGTCAAGGTCAAATAAAACCTGCCAGACTGACATGTACATTGTAAAATATTTCCATACACCAAATATAGTTGACCTATTGCATATAGTATTAGAAAAAAAAAAACCAAAACACAAAAACTTAACTTTAACCACTGAACCATGAAAAATTAGGTCAAGGACACATGACACCTGCCACTTGGACATGTACACCTAACAATCATTCCATGCACCAAATATAGAAGACCTATTACTTATAGTATCTGATATATGGACTTGACTTCGAAAACTTAACCTTGTTCACTGATCCATGAAATGAGGTCGAGGTCAGATGAAAACTGTCTGACAGGCATGAGGACCTTGCAAGGTTCGCATATATTAAATATAATTATCTTATTACTCATAATAAGAGAGAAATTAACATTACAAAAAATCTTAACTTTTTTTTCAAGTAGTCACCTAATCATGAGATCAATGAGGTCAAGGACAATGGACATATGACAGACGGAAACTTCATAACATAAGGCATCTATATACAAAGTATGAAGCATCCAGGTCTTCCACCTTGGAAAATAGAAAGCTTTTTTAGAAGTTAGCTAACGCCGCCGGATCACTATCCCTATGTTGAGCTTTCTGCGACAATAGTCGCAGGCTCGACAAAAACTGCATACACATTAAAATATCCTTATATTTTTACAAGTTCAACTGGCCCTTAAGGGTCATGATGAACTTTTGTCATCATTTGGCTTTCATTGTACATTGTAAACTTTAAAATAAATCTTCAGCAATCAAATCAAACTCCACATGATTGATCCTTAGGGTATCTAGATTAAAGTTTGTGTATTATAAAACAATCCATCAACCAACATGGTCGCCACAGCTAAAAGTAGTTGTCTCATATCTTGAAAACCATATTGTAGAATATCTGATGAGTTGAATACGTGCAGATCTACCTACTTTTAAATTATACCAAAATTATCCACAGACTCCTTACAGATTTTTTAACCAAATTAATTATTTTTGCCTTATTACTTTAAAAAAACATTATAGAATGGTAACAGCAAAAATGATCAGCAATACATTACAAAAATTCTGATATGACTTAATACAACAAATTGGCACCTTTAATAAAGGAGTTATTGCACTTAAATTCATTTCTTTTTTTTTTAATTGTAGCATTTTTATGCAGGCACCACGGATAGGGGCATTAAGTGTTACCCTTGTCCGTACGTACATACGTCCCAAAATTAATTTCCATACTCTAATTTTAGTTTGCCTCAACGAAATGTTATGAAACTTGGTACACAATGCTTATTACCACAAGACACAGTCACAGATCAAGTTTGACTTTGGGTGGCGTCACTTTTACTGTTCTAGAGTTATGCCCTTAAATATGGAAAAATTGCTGAATTTTTCGTTTTCCATTCTCTAACTTATGTTTACCTCAACCAAATGTTATGAAAGTTATACACAATGCTTATTACAACAAAACTCAAATCAAGTTCAAATTTTTGGTGGCGTCACTTTTATTGTATAATATCTTGGATACTTCAATAAACTATGAAAACTGTAGACAACAAAAATCATCAGCAATACAAGATCAACAAAACTGCCAAAATCTTGAAATAATTAATTGACTCCTTATAGAAGCTGAAAGACTGAGAATTTTATATTCCCTGTAAACAATTTTTTTGAGAAATGTTTGTTGGGAGGGGAAAGGGGGGTATATAAGAATCACTATGTCTGCATGCCTTTATAGCAAATCCTCCAAAACTAGGCAAATAAAATAACTTACAAAAGACAAGACCCAAAGTACTGATCAAATAGTTCTTGCAGTTACTGAAAGTTAGTTCAAGGCTCAATTTATTCTAGTAAATGTTTCCCAACTAAATTATCAATCAGTGCACCTCCAACAGATTTAGTGTTAAATCTCATAAGCAGTCTGAAAGTAACATGACCTTGTAACTTGTAAGATGCCAAAATATAATTATCAACAGGCTGTAGGACCATAAGTTTTTTTAAGTTGATAGCAATACATGTTTATTTGTGAGTTAAACTATTGAAAATGAAACCAATGTGCGAATGAAGCAATAATCAAAGATCTTCCTAAAATGTTAAACTGATATCTTTTAAAGGGGCGTTAACTGCTATTTAGACGAAAAATAAATGGAGAATGTGTCCATGGGATACAGATGATGCCCCCACTTGCATATAACGTTATAAAGGGGCATAACTAGAGAACTGTAAAAGTGACGCCACCAAATCAAACTCGATCTGTGTTTTTTGGTAAAAAGCATAACATTTGGTTGAGGCAAACTAATGTTAGAGAACGGAAACTAATTTTGTGCCACTGCAGGGACACAAAAATAATTAAAATACAATTATTTGGTTGTTTCAAATATTTATAAAAGCTGAATATTGAATTAGAGATCAAAAACATAGCATATGTAATATTGGCTTGCAAGTCAATAATTCAACCTCATTTGAATCCATTTTCATGTAATCCTATCTTGACCTTCAGCTGAAGATTAGTTATGCATGCCCTAATGAAATAAATGTCAACATTAAAAAGTTAAACAAGGGAGCCACATAAAAAACACATTTCTATGACCGATTTGGTCGAAGTCATTCATATACAGGTAAAACGATGATTTACATTTTTAAAATCTATTACATGAATTTAAACAGACCTGAAAAATCGTATTTACACAACTCTACATGCTGCTCAGTCTATTTATATTTATATTAATGTTTATATACGGTCAAATGACTATCGTCAGTCTTCGGAGGTAATCTTGATGGTTAATCTATTCTAAAATATGCATCAAATACTGATGCCTGATGCATTATAACAATTAAAACAAGCATTCTGAGAGTTTTGCATGGCAATACATAGTCCCCTAACGGGTAAAAATTCATTATACTGGAACAATATGCTAACTTGTTCTATAACTTGGTGTAAACAAAAAGAAAATATCAAGTCATTATATTTAAGCATGACTAAAAACAGTGTGAATAACTGATTATATGAGTGAATTTTTCAAGTCCAAGGACCATAACTCTGCACAAAATTATCAGACTGAAACAAAAAATCAATCAATATCTTCAAGCATGATGAAAAAAAGTGTGGAAAACACTCTTTACATTAGATATGATTAATAGTTCTCTAAAATTAGATATGATGTAATACAATGTATATCTATTTTCAAATTATAATCAAATATAATTAATAGTTCCAAATATTTTTTCTTTCATTTGTCACAAACTAATTTAGATTTGTAACTTATCTATAAAATGTCAACAACTTCTATCTATACACAATGTAATGTAATGAAATATATACCTTAATAAAAAATACATTATTATCTAATTAAAGGATTTCACTTCATAATTTTTTTTATATATATAGCATTCACAAAATTAGTTTATACAAAATAACAAACACTTCAAACAATTTACCAAAGAATGTCTTTTAAAAAATCAGTTGTCTCCCTTTGTACAGAAATATGGTTTAACATACAAAATGTAGTACTCTAACATTAGATATGGACCATGATAACTCTGGACTAAATCATCAGACCGGAACAAAATTCGAACTTGATCTATAACTTGTCATGAAAGAACTATATACCAAATATCAAATCAATATCTTCAAGAACGAAGAAAAAAGTGGAAAACTGATTAGCCGGACTGACAGATGGACAGACAGACGGACGGAGTGCAAACCTAAAGTCCCCTTCGACTTAGTCGGTAGGGGACTAAAAAAGGAGATGTGGTATGATTGCCAATGAGACAACTATCCACCAAAGTTCAAATGAAGTGGATGTAAGCAATTATAGGCAACCATACGGCCTTCAACAACGAGAAAACCCCATACCGTATATAGTCAGCTATAAAAGGCCCCAATGTGAAAAATATGAAACAATTCAATTGAGAAAACGAACAGCTTAATTCATAACAAAACAATTTATGAAAAACAAATATGACAGACATGAATCAAAGACAACCACTGAACTACAGATTCCTGACTCCTGTGGCGGGTTTTAAACATGTTTGTGAGCGCTAAACCCTCATCTAACCTGGGACAGTGGTGTAAACACACAACATAAGAACAAACTATAAAAATCAGTTGATAATGATTTAACTCATCAGATCTATACAAAGCAGAAAAACACAGACCGGAAGTGGCAGGGTATTTATACATCCCTAAAAACAAAAAAGACACAAAGTACAGATCTGAGAGAACTCACAGTTACTGACAGCTAGTTCAAAGCCAGTAACAACTAATAAAAGAAATCATGTATCCAAGACTAATGTATCAATCAGTACACATCCAACATCCAATGGATGTGAACTGATTGATACATTAGTCCATTTAACTTTGTTTCTTTGGGACTATTTGTAATTGGATTTACGTTTAAGTATATTATGAATCAAATACGAGAATTAAAGTCAAATTGGTGACCATGAATTTGACAGCTAATGCCCCTTAAAAAAATTAATTCAAAGGACCTTTAAGTTTACATGGATCTGATTTACAAGCTCTATAAACAACATTAGGATGTGATATCATGTTTGGAATAAGATTTCTACAGTATGATTAATGTTATATTCAGCCCACATATTACATTTTGAAATTTGTTTGCCAAACATAAAAAAAATTTCAGGGACAAAATTAGACACACATGACATGGATTTCATTTTTAATAAATATAAAAAAAGCTATAATTCTTCTTTTGTTGCCTCTGGAGAATTGTTTATAAATTTTAAAAAGTCTTTTTCTGATCTTCCTCCTTCATATTCTGATAAGAATTTATTACCAACATAAAGTTTAAATGTAGGAAATCCTTCTATTTTCTCTTCATTGCAAGTTTCTGAAACACAAAACATATGCAAGACTTAAAATGCAAAAAAAATAAAATTGAAAATACTATGATTATGGAGATGTTTTTTTCTTCTGAAACTACATTTTTTTAATGGGAGGTTTATTTTGACATTTGTAAATTGTATAATATACTTTACCCTTCCCTTTGAAGACATAAAAGTTCTTGAAAAAAAAACCACACTGATGCAAGGTATTTTAAGTGGGAGTCAAATTTTTTCATTCAGGTTCTGGATTATTTAAAAGAAAGGATGACTTTATTTTAGCTATTTTGTAATGGTGTGTAGATTCTACAGTGTGATGTATTATGTTGCCTTATCAGTGAGTAATCCCTGAATTATTGAAGTGTAAAATTGACTTTTAAGCATTTTGGTTGACAATCATATTTTCATCTAAGACATATATGAATGATAGTCACCTTACAGCAGTCACTATTTGTTTGATGTTAGCCATTAACTATTCTTAAAGAGAGTCGAAAGATATCGAAGGGATATTCAAGTCAAAAATAAACTGACAATGCCATGCCATTTCGTTTGATCTAATTGGAATAAACTGTCTAGATGAATAGGCAGAATGTATGACAACATTTTTAAGAATTAGATTTTTAAAACATACCTCTACTTTTAGTACAATCAACTGCAACAAAAGCTTTTTGTTTATCCTTTAATGAATCAGCAGCATTCTGGAAAATTGGTTTTGAACTTTTACAATGGCCACACCAAGGTGCATAAAACATCACTAATGATGCTTTATATTTTGAAAGCTGACTTTTAAAATCTGAATCAGATAAATGTTTAACTGCACTTTTAATTGAGCTCCATTCTGGTTCTGGTGGTGGTGTTGGTGCTGCAGGCTGTGGACTGAAAAGTCAAACATATAATCTTCTAATGTCGTCAAGCAACAACTATAAACATTTATTTTTTCTCAAAGCCTTTATTTTTATCTTCAAAAATGTGATCATGCCAATCTTTTTTTTAATGATTAAATAGGACAGAATAAGCCCAAAAATTCCCCTTTTACTGTCTATGCAAAGGATCAGCTGTGCTAAGGGCCCTATTTGGCCTTAAAATTGAAGTATTATAGAACAAGGTGATTTTGCTTTAAATAATCGATATCTATGAGCAAAGTTTTAACTGTAAGGAATTTAAAATATTATGAATTTTAGATTTTGCAGCTGAAAAATAGCAAAAATTTGAATTTTCTTCAAATAATTGCATATTTTGACAAAAATTTGTGAGATAGGAGATATTGAGAACATGCAAGTACCAAGAAAATAATAACATGTCAGGTGTTGTTCATATCCATATAACATTGTGGCAAATTATCTAGTTATTAAATTCATGTGCTTTAATTTAGGTAAAAAAAACTAGTTAAAAATTGACCAAATCCTGTTTTTCAAAAAAAAACATGTAGAAGACCCTTTTCAATAGCAGCATGGATCGTAAGCTACCTGTTTTGACATTGATTGAATCATCTTTAAGAAAGACATACAGGGAAATCTAAAATTCAAATTCCAGTGAAAAATTGGATGAAAAAAGGGGAGAATCATCTGCAGATACTAACTCCTTGTATTTCCTTAAAAATGTCTTTTATATGCATGTAAGTATATATGAGAAATATTATGGTCAGAGAAAATGAAAGATAATGTGATCAAAGTCTTTCCCTTTGTCTAGAAACATTAAACATATGACACTTTTCTACATGTATCTGATTAAATTTACTTACTTTTTCATGAAACTAACCAAATCTGTCACTTTTCTGCCTCCTGAATATTCAAATGATTCTATACCATTTCTGTAAACCAAAATGAGTGTATTTAAAGTTATTCATCTAAAAACGAATTAACGTATTTATCTACTATAAGAAATACCTTTTTTAGATCACAAAATATGCCTATACACCATTCAAAATTTCATTATACCATTTCAAGTAACTTTTTGTTGCAAGCTATCATTAAAAAATTTGTTCCATTCAGCAAGAAATATTAAGACACTGTTTTGCTATTCAAATAGCATAATTTTAGTAGAGACTATTTTTCTAGGCAATCAAATACCGACTTGAAGGATCATTGTGGCCAGTTTGGTTTTAATTGGTTCAGAGCTTCCACGGTAGATTTTTAAAAATTGCCAAATGATGACTATATCTTACAATGAGCATTAGGCAAAGTGAGCTTAAAATGGGGATTTTTTTTTTATATTTCCAGTGTTGTTTTGCAGCTAGTGATATTTATCTGCTTAATGTAGACATTAGTTTCTTTGTAGAATATACAAATTAATTTTGAAAATACATTTATCTAGGTCACATGCTAAATCTATAGTGATTAAAAAAATGAATACTTATGTAATTCTGAATCCTGGAGGAAAATATATGAATAAAGTATACTTACTTAAAATATTTTACTGAAAAGGAAGCAAAAGAAAATATAAATGCAAATATATCTGAACATGACAAGTAGAAAATCTTCAAACTTATATATATTGTTTGTACAACCTGGTCAGATGTACTTTTAATTTCATGAACTGATATTTGAAAATTGACAGTTACTTAAACTGGAAATTACCCATGAAACTTGAGTAAAATTCATAAATAAAGTTACTTGAATTTCATTGTTTTGTTTGAGGATTTTAATTTCAATTTATTTAGGGTTTTGTTTCCATAACTTAATTTTCAATCTGAAATTTTTTTTTTTGAAAGTAAATATACTGACAATAACCAAATGAGAGAAAGGGGATGACTAATGATTTAAAGTAGCTAATGGGTCTAAATGTTCAACGATAAGATTTTTCTAAAACTTCTGTAAAATACTTCTGTAATTTCAAATTTCAATATAAAAACTGGGGGTCACAGACTTTGTTTGTTAGTTAAAATACATTGAAATGAACGAAATCACAATTATTTTATATGGATTATATATGAGGGAAACTTAATTTTGTCTTATTGAGGAAACACTAAAAGGATTTTTCTGAAAATTTTATATACACTTAATGACACATCTTATTTTTGATAGCTTTATTAATAACATTCAAGTTTAAGATGTTTCTGTCATATATTGCATGATACTTGGTCAAATATTTTAAACCAAAAAAGTATTTTTGTAACATGCCCGGAAGGGATGCTCAGAAAAAGACACCTGATCTATCTTCATACAAACCTTTAGGAAATATGTATTTTGAACATTCATATAATCATGGTTTCAAAATTCATGATACCCACAAAATTATTTATCATATTATGAATATCAATGAATCAAAAGTACATGAATCTCTAATATAAATGGATCACAATGCTCTAAATAGAGAAATGAGTTTTATTGGCATAGCGTCAAACTTACTTGTAGGATAACCTTGAACTTTATATAGGCCAGCAATCTGACTGTCAATAGTAGCATCAACAGCAGCTAAAACTCCTTCTACCTAAAATCAAAGTTAACAATAATACTCAACTGTTAGCTAAAATTCATTTTACTTAAAATTAAAGCTTGGTTAAAAGTATCACTGAATAATTTATTACCTGTAACCATAAGCTGTGATACAAATTATGGGACCGAAATTATATTTATCATTATTCACTCTACATGTGAAGAAAAATAATAGTTTTAGCAAAACTTACATTTTGACAACATTTTATACAATGTTCTGTAGTCAAGCCATGGTTATAACAAAATACTGTAAACCAACTAATTTTCATTAGCGATTTATGTTCGCGAGTAGAAAAATAACGCGAATATAAATCGTCGCGAATATGGAAAACTTGAATCTTTCCTTACTTAACTACATCAAGTAAATTAGAAAATCATGAAATTTAATCGCCGCGAAGTTGACTAGAAAGGGCTAAACGTGAAATAAAGTATCCGCGAAAATAAGTTGATTTACAGTATATGACTGTAATATTTTTCTTGAAAGTTGTTACAGAATGACACAATTAAAATCTTCATATATTATTATAACCTTCATTATTAAAGCAATAATCTGTTCAGTATTTTTACTCAATGATTATATAACATATATTAACATATACCTTCGTTTCTAAATATATCATCTGTGTCATATTTTGGGTGAAATAAAACCTAGCTATCTGCTGGCCTTTTATATTACAATTTGACACCATAGATTCTGATACAATGTATAATCATGCAGTATACAAAAAAAAAAGAAATGTTGTATGATTACAAATGAGACTACAATTCATCATGATGTGGATGTATTCTTTACAAAAAAAATAAAATGTTAATGATTGTGCATTGTATATATTGAAGCAATCACTTGTACTGTAATTTTGCAAACTGAAGACAAATGGATTAAAAGTGAAATAAAAAAAAGGCTTTTATGTATTTTGAAGGTGCTTTCAGGCTTGTTTGACCTGCCTTGTTCTGTGCTTTTTTTGCACTCTAACAAGGACAATAACTCCTAAATAGGAAAATTTCAAATCATCAATATTAAAATTGACCTCCATTTTGTCATCAGTAGCAACATCTTAAAATTTGAAAAGCATAGGTTGAAAAGTTCATAACTTTTTGCACAGAAACAAGATAAAGAGTCATTTTCCAATCTATTAAGACCATAACTCCTAAACAGTAAAAGTGAAAATCCTCAGTATCAACTTGGACCTCCATTTTGTCATCTGTTACAACATTTTAAAATTTGAAATAAAAACTTTGAAGAAACAGTTCATAAGTAATTGCACTGAAACAACATAAAGTGCCATCTTCAAATCTATCAAGTATCATAACTCCTGAATGGTAAAAGTAAAAATCCTCAGTATTGAACTTGACCTCCATTTTGTCACCAATAACAACATATAAAAATTTGAAAAGAATTGGTGGAATTTTGTCATCAGAAACAACAAAGTTATATTTGAAAAGTGTTAGTTGATTGGTTCACAAGTTATTGCACGGAAACCCCATCCTTTAGAAAAACCCTTTGAATTTTGCAAGTCCAAAATTGAAAGTCAAACCAAAATTTGTATAAAATTGTTTTTTATATTCTGGATCTTTTTTATGGAATAACTTACCTTCATCCCTGAAAAAATTAACCTCAAGTACAAGTTAATTCATAAAAGATTTTAAAAATTACTTTTTAGAACAATAAGAAGTTGTGTTATATATCTTATGCATATTTGTCACACACCTGAACCTGAATATTGTTGAAGTTAGGGCTGTTCAAATTGTTCATGGTGGGAGGGATTGGAGTCACTCAAATTAATAAATTGTGAGTGGTTGCATTTCCCTCAGAATTTTGTAAATATAATAAGTAAAAAGAAAATATTTTTTTTGGGTGGTTGGTGTCTAAAAAAGACGCCTCCCATGCCACCCATGTCTTTAATTCTGGAACATCCCTTATTTGAATGATGTAAATAATGTATCAGCTTTTGGTTTTTACCTATTTTGATAAAAATGTCTATTCATCACATATTCTCATTTGATGTTTTCTTACGTGTATGTCTTTTTAAAAATATTCTTTGTTATTTTCAAATGTATTTCAAGAGAGCCTCAGTGAATATTAGTTTTAAAGCTGTTACATCCTGGTTGTGTCATAGGAAAGAAATTGGAACAATAGCTTCAATCTTTCCAAAAAATACCTTTATTTTTATAACTTACATTTTGATCTTTAAGTAAAGAAGCTGCCTCAGCATAAGCAGGTTTCATAGCTTTACAATGTCCACACCCTAAATAAAATATTATATGGATTACAACTTTCTCTTCCATGTGTACAAAATATAAATTCCATATAATGAAATATAATTGATATGATGTATTAATTCAAGACACAAATCATTAATGCAATTCGAAAAACAAAGACAATAGAATGGAATAGCACTTTAGTTTCTGTTCATCAACTAAACATTGGATTAATTCAAATCAACTGCCATTTTTATGCATTTGAACACTATGCTTTTCAAGCCCCCGCAGCAGGCAATGGGGGCATTAAGTGTTACCCTTGACCGTCTGTCCTTCATTCTTTCCGTCTGTCTGTTCGTCCCATTTTCAATTCTGCACTCCAACTCAAGTTTCCTCATCCAAATTTTATGAAACTCATACACAATGCTAAGAACCAAAACTCGCAAAAAGACTTCGAATTTGAGCAGTTTCGAATTTGAGCAGTGAGTCGCTTACCATTCTACAATTATACTCCTTTATAACTTGGAAAAAGCCTCAGACACATTCTTCTTTTATTTTTTATAGTTAAAGATGCCATGTTTTTATGTCAGCAAGCTTAAGAAAGGAATTTTTGAAAAGCACACTTTAAGAATGACTGTTGCCACTTTTGGTATAAATATGAGATATATTAAAATCTTCAACAAAATATAAAATAAACTGTTAACACAGAGATATGTCTTGCCTTTTTATTATTTTGATAGTAAAATGCAAATGTTGAAATTAAAATAGCAATACTTTAATATGTAAGTTATGCAAAATATTAAAAGTCAATGAACCATGACTGAAGATACATGGCCAAACAATCTCCATGGAAATGAGATATGCCAATGCTAATACAGCTGCATACCAAATAGGATTGACCTACCACTAGTGGTTCCCCATAAACTGACCTAATCACAAACTAATACATGTAAACTAAGCAAAAGTTTCAAATCAATCAACCATAACTGAGAGGGCGGGGACAAACAATCTCCATGGAAATGAGATGTGTTGATGTTAATACAACTGCATACCAAATATCATTGACCTACTAATAGTGGTTCCCAAGAAACTGTCCTAATCACAAACTAATACATTGTTGATGCAGCCGCCGCTGGAAACCGCACATCTTAGGCTGTGTTTGGATATACGGCTGAGGCCGCCTATGATTAACCATAGGTACCTTAGCCTACCTATGGTTTGATATTTTATACATCAAAATATAACCATAGGCCATCTTATGCGTATATCCAAACACAACCTATGTCTCATTTTTTGACTCCTCTATCACATTTTAATGATGAATGATATCTGTAAGCTTTTAATAACATAAATATCTTTAAAAAATTATTAACATGAATTTCAATAAAAGTACTATAGATGACAAACAACTGATAGGAAGAAACAACGGTATGTTTATATTTTTGTATCTTATATGAACTTTCCTTGTTTCCCTCTTTTTACCTTTACATTAAACTGATAAACAGAATTTTAGTTGAGTACTTACATGGTGCATAAAACATTACTAGGACTGAGTTATGCTGTTTTATAAATGAATCAAATGAACTGCCTGTGGGAAAATGTATGTTTCGGTACCCTGTAATTTCCTTCCACTGTTCCTCTGGGGCCTCAGGTGGGGGTTGTGATGGAGATGCTCCAGGATTTTGTGGGTCATTCATAAAGTTGACAAAATCTGCCTCCTATAAAACAAAGTGTTAGTGTAAGATACTCTGAATTATACTTCAAATGAAAAGTTGTCTTAAATCTTTGAAGTAGGTTTTATTTTCACAGAGAACATATTTCAGACAAAGGACACTATTGCTACTTTCAGAAAACTCTGAATAAAAATTACATGATCATTCATCTTCAATTGAATCCATTAATAAATTTAGAAATAATATAAAATTAAGTCCATTAAAGAATTAAGAGTTGATTTTCATTCTTTTGGTCCGGGTTGTCATTAACATAGACTCATGGTGATTTTATGCTTGCCATTGGGTAAAGACGCTTTTTTAGGTTTGAAGACCTTTAGAACTTTGATTTATTCATATTATTGGATAGATAGTAAAAATTGTCGTGTGATTTTTTATTTTTTTATTTCTTAACACCTTTTAACTTGGTTATGTTATCATAAATTTAACATCTTGTATTGTAACTTTTAGATTTGGGCCAAATATAGGCCTTATTACCCCTACTCCTTTGACTGAATTGTATTGGTCATTCATGCACTGGGAAAGTGAAAGTGTTGTATAAAATTTATACTAAAACCAGGTTAATATGTTATTTCAAACAATCTAATTTGTTGGTTGGTAATGAAATATGACTTAAAAGAAAAATTAACCTAAAAAGCTACATACTAAACACTTGAAGAATTGTTTCAACAGATTTAAAAAAAAAATCATTATATATGAACTCAATATTAAAGTTGTTTATAAATGGGTACCGTAAGAATAGTAATGGACAATCAGTACCTAATTTTGTGGTTAGTTTTATATGTAATACCCAGGAAAATTATAATATCATACATATTCATGAATCAATAGTACACTTTTTAAAATATGCAAGGGATATGACTTCATACAATAGTTTACATACCTCTCTACCTCCCATATAGTTCTGTGGATTTTTACCATAGTTAAAGTACTTCAATGTAGGATATCCTGTTACTTCATTTGTACTACAGATAGATGTATGCACTGTACAATCTACTGCTGAAAATGCTACCTGAAATATTGAACAGACATGTACAGACAATGGTGTACACTGTACAATCTACTGCTGAAAATGCTACCTAAAATGTTGAAGACACTGTACAATCTACTGCTGACAATGCTACCTGAAATATTGAACAGACACTGTACAATCCACTACTGAAAATGCTACCTGAATTGTTGAACAGACATTGTACAATTTACTGCTGAAAATGCTACATGTATAAACACTGTATAGACATTGAAGTAAACTATACAATCCACTGATGAAAACGCTTCATTTACATTCATTTCAAATAACATCATAGATGAATTGTGTATAGTATATCCAACAAGATTCATTTTCCATTCACTTATGAAAATTGAGGTACGAAAAATTTTGCAACTGTTTTTCAATTCTGGTCAATGTAGAGCTTCATATACCAGTGTTGAATAGCCACCTGCCTATTGTTACAGATCTGATGTTCGGCAACTTGTGTACTTGTGTTGCTGTTTTATTGATATTCCCACACGTCTCCTTTTATTCAAATATAAACTCTGATTATAAGATAGGAAAGATTGGAAATCTTGCCAATAAGTCCTACCTTTCCATCATCTTTAAACCTAGCTGCAGCTGCCATAAATTCTGGTTTAGCTTTCTTACAGTGACCACACCCTGAAGATATATATAGGTATATATATTGATAAACTAAAAGTGGTGAACCCTTGCATCTGCCTCTAACCAAGATGATAGGCAGATCTGAATACTATCTACAATCCATTTTATACTTAAATACAATATGTCTCGCCTGTCGGCAGAAAATTCAAAATACCGCTAACTTAAGCAGAAAACTTAACATTGAAAATTGATAATTTATTCACTCACTGGACCATTATGATTTTATGTGCTTTCTATACAAATGTTCACCTACTTTGAAAGAATTCAATCAGTAGTATTTCTGTTGATAAAAGAGATAAATGCATTATTTTTTTCGATTTTCAGGTAAAGTTCAACAAGCCAAAGTTGTATAGAAAATTTTAGCAAAATCTGTGACATAGCCCATTTACTGCAACTTGACCTTAAGTTATTTTTCAAAGTTAATATTTTCTTACATGGAGCATAAAACATAACTAGAGCATGCTTTTTCTTCTTGAGAATAGATTTATAATTTTCATCATTGAGATGTAATACATCACTTTCCACCTCCTCCCATTTAGCCTCTGGTGGTGGTGGTGGTGGAGGCTCCTTTGGACTGAAATGTACAAAAAAAAAAATATACTTAAGATAGTTTAGATATCGACATTTGGCTGTAGAACAACCCCATTAAATTATTTTAGTTTTTTTTACAAGACTAATTCAGAATATTTCAACTTTTTTATTTCACTCAGTAAGAAAAGTTTATATCTATTATGTTATTAATAAGGTTTCAACTAAAACTACCCAAGGCAAAGTTGACCACAGGTAGTGTTTTTGGCTGTTCATTTTAGAGTGATGTTTTTTTTTCTCTGTGAAAGTTGACAATGAAGGTAAGTCAAGAAAAGCACACTGATTGCAACAAAATTGGAAAATTGGTGTTACCGGTACATTTCCATTCTCCAGCATTGGGTCAATACCTTTGCAGGTGGACTATCAGTATACATCTACCCACATTTCAACCTTATAAGATTTGTGCTTTAGAATTACTCCCTCAGGCAAACAACTTATTAGGTGTATTTTAGGCCCTTTTAAAGCTTTAATGCTCTTAACATTTTTGTTTTTCTTATTCACTCATTTTGACTATCAAGAAAAGGGCTTTTAATGCAATAAAATCACTGTAATATTTCCTTTACTGGTAAATTAAGTCTGTATCGTGGCACTACTGAAAGCAAGCCAGATCTTTTTTCTACAAAGTAACATTATAAAACCAACTAAGAGAAAATTAAAATAAAAAAAAAACCTTGTAAACGATAATGATATGATTTTTAACATCCCTCTTGTCAGAAGATTTGACCTTCATTAAAACCAAACATATAAGGAACTGAACATTTTACAAACTCAAAAGTTCACACCTAAGAAGATACGTTAACAGAATTAAGTATTTTGTATGTCTATTCTTATTGTTCAATAACAATGGTTAAAAATTACTTACTCTTTCATAAACTCAAGAATTTTTGCTCCTGTCCTTTCATTTAAATCAAATGCAAATTCACCATCCCTAAAAAATAAAATTATAATACAGTACGAGGTATGGGTACAGATGAAACAACATGCGTGTTTGCATATTCTTTATATTGGCAATAAAAAGGGGAAAATCTTTCATTAAAAGCATTGAAAATACAATGTACTTGAATTTTTTTGATTAAAATGTAGAAAGTATTTTTCAAAGAAAAAAACTTCCTTTTTTAATCATAAACATGCAAAAATCAAAATCAAAATATATATACCATCAATATTTCATAAAAATGTGAAAGAAATTTTCATGAACAAATAGAGGTTCATGACCCTTCAAATTCTAGATTTACATTTGATCTACATTTACAGTACCACTGCTTTAATTTCACACAGAAACACATATTTTACTTCATTCACTTTACTGATAAAATAATAAAAAGATAATCAAATATTTCCCATGTTAATAACACTGGAGTCACTATCAGATTTGACAATATGTGGAAAATTGTATATTGTCCCCAAAAATGTTATTCTGTCTAAGAAGCCTAGACAATGAGTTACATCCAATGTTGTGCAAAGTATACACCACCAGTTATTAGACATTGACAAAAAATTCCAGCCTCAGTGGGTATAAAACAAAATCGTAGTATCATCTAACAAAACAGCAAATCTGCTAGAAGAGTCATAGTCAAGCTACCAATGTCAGCAGCATAAGTGAAAGCAAATTCTTATAGATTTGAAATCAGTCTTCAAAGTTCAGAAGCTTATAAACCCCACAATTTATGTAAAGGTCTCATCTACTGAAAACAAACATTGGCAATATTAAGAACCCCATATACTATAGACTGTAGTCTCACACTTCATACAATTAACTGTTAATTTTATCTCAGTGGTGAGAATACAAAAAAAAAAACTTTCAAAGAAAGAAAATTAAGAATGTATACTTACTTGAAATATTTAACTGAAAAGATGAAATAACAATGGCTCAGTAAATGAGTACACTCAGTAGTAATTAATCTACAATTTAATTACAAAAAGAGCGAGGAAAAAAAGTTGATAAGAATTATAACTGTAAAATACTGTTATTCAGAATGTTTTTTTAATGCATTTATCATTGTGAATGTTGAACAATTGACAAAGATGCCAGATTAATTATTGAGATTTCAGAAAATGCTGCAGACAAATAATGCTATCAAAATTAAAAGTGTGAGTTTTTATTTTTGCAAAACCTTTCCCATTGCAAATTTTACATTTATAAAAACATCGCAAATTTTTCTGAATTAACAGTATTAAAACATTTGTATGAGTTCAAATTACAAGAATCAAAGATTTGATTTCAGTCAGCAATTTGTCCATCTATCAGCTATGGTATGTTCTAATACAAATTAACAACACAAAGGAAAATTTAATATGCCTAACTTGTGTTTTCAAAAACTTTACATGACATTAGAAAATCCTTCTTACGTAATTTATACGTACCTGTGGGGAATCCTTGGATTTTATATCTATCTGAAACAGTTTTATGTTGTGTGGCATCTACAGCAGCTAAAGTTCCTACAATCTGTAATAATAATTGCCTGCATTATAAAATACATGCTAAATTTTTAGCTAAAACTGTGTCACTTTTACTATGAAGTTTCGTGAAAAATTATTCCTATAATGGAAAGTTTATATGCACTACTATTTTCATCAAAGTTCAAAACATAGGGCTGTGCGGCATATTTTCAACACTTATATGCCTCAAACTTCTAAGAGTTCAAACTTATACTAAGTTCTGTACTACCCCTCCCTTCACTTGGGGCTTCTTCATATTCAATTTGGACCCTATCCATGTGTATTTATACTGGTAAAATTCCCAAGTTGTGTCTCTATGAGATGAAACATAGAGATCATATCTGGGAACCTGTAGGTAAAAACAAAACATCTATGAATATTATATATCTCCACAATAGAGGCGCGGTTTGTGAAACAGTTGTATTTACAAAATGCAACCTATAATAGCTCTTAAATCCTACATCGCAACAAGTTATTTTTTGCCGTTTTATAACTTTATTAATGTATTTGCATATGAAAATATCAAAGTTTGACATTATTCTCAAGTTTATTAAGATTGTCATTCACTGAAGTTTGTTGTATTTAAAGTAAGAACAATAAATATTTATTGAATTAAATGAATTTTACTTTAGCTGCTGACAATGGTGAATTTGACCCATAATCATAACATATATTGAAATTAAAATCTGAAATTTAAAAAAAGTAATAACGAACAATAACCCAGTTGATCTATCCAGCTTGTTTTATTATGATAAGCCAACACAACATTTAATGTCATACTAACATTATAGACAATTTTCTTGCTTTCTCACCTTTAATCTATTTTAATGATGAGATTTTTTATGAGAAATGCTAAGCCAACCGTAAAACTTTTTTGTCTGATATTGTAATCTATATGCATATGGAAGAAAATGCTGTGTGTAACTAAACGTCATACTTTATAATATAAAAGCATTTTTTTAAAGTTGTTTTTACTTACATTTTGTTCCTTCATTTTACTAGCTGTTTCTGTATATTCTGGCTTCATTTGCTTACAATGACCACACCCTATAATTGAACAGATTATTTAGGCAATTACAAAGAACCATCACTTCCTGTTGACCTTATGTAAACCAACTTATTAACCTATGACCTGATATCTATTTCCCACATAAAATCATATTTCTTGTGTCACACTAAATGTAGTGCCATCCTTCAAACAAGGAGCTTAAACACGACTAAGACATATAAGGCTTGCCGCAATCCTACTTACATGAAGCATAAAAGATGACTAAGGCGTATACGGCTTGCCATAATCCTACTTACAAGGAGCATAAAAAATGACTAAGACATTAAAGGCTTCCTATAATCCTACTTACAAGGAACATAAAACATGACTAAGGCATATAAGGCTTTCTATAATCCTACTTACAAGGAACATAAAACATGACTAAGGCATATAAGGCTTCCTATAATCCTACCTACAAGGAACATAAAACATGATTAAGGCATATAAGGCTTCCTATAATCCTACTTACAAGGAGCATAAAACATGACTAAGACTGATGGATTATTCTGTAAATATTCATCATAGGTACTGTCTGTTAAATGTACCACATCTGATTCCTCATCAGCCCACTCTGCTTCTTTTTTCTTCTCTGCTGGTGGTTTAGGACTGCAAAACAAGAATAAAAGTATTTGTTGTAGTGTGAAGTCTTCATAGATAAAAAGAGAATAAATAAAACAACAACCAAAGGAAACAAATAGTTTCATCTATTTATGGAGAAAATTTAATTTATCAAACAACATTACATAAATGGGGAATGTGTCCATGGGACACAGATGATGTCCCCGCTTTCATATCATATAAAGTTATAAAGGGACATAACTGAAGATTGATCTGTGTTTTGTGGGAATAAGTATTGTGTATAAGTTTCATAACATTTGGTGGAGGCAAACTTAAGTTAGAGAACGGAAACGAAAAATTTAGCAATTTTTCCATTTGTAAAGGGGCATTACTCTAGAACAATAAAAGTGACACCCCCAAAATTCAAACTTGATCTGTCTTTTGTGGTAATAAGCATTGTGTATAAGTTTCATAACATTTGGTTGAGGCAAACTTAAGTTAGAGAACGGAAACCAACTTTGGGACGTACGGACGGACGGGGTAACACTTAATATTTGACGATAAAAAGATCTCTGTTAATTTAGTTTACTGGTACTGGTTTATCATAAGTCATACATGTCCTTTTCTCATTTTTGTTTTGTTTCTTCAGTTGCATGTTCTATATGCGCTTGATGCTTTGTTTTAATTGTTATTTATAATTTTTTATAGTTTGTAAAAAGCTCACCAGAGTTTATGCTTATATGTTTTATACTATGTTGTATTCAGATAAAAATTTTGTATGTTTATGTCTATGTTTCAGATCTCTTTTTCTAATATTTTATATCCAGAATTTCTGATGAAGTCAAATGATTTTTCTTACTTCTTTTTCCATCACATTTTGGAATAAGAATTGCTGAAATTCCATCTTTTAAAAGAACCTTATATATTAAGAACACAATGAGATAGTACCGTTCTAAAGCTCTGAGAAATAAGCTAACTATACTGCTGAAATTTACCCAAAGGAACTTACTTTAAATAAATCTAATATCAACAGCAATAACTGTTGTTTCTTAGATTTAGATATTTCAGTATTACACCAGAAATTTTACACAAAAATTTACGACAAAAGGGATGCTTTTTCTTTCCCTGTTGTTAATTTTCCCTTTTTGGACAGTGATGTTCCTTTGGCACCGTCTTACAGTGTTTATATATCCCAACTCGTTCGCTATGCTTGTGTTTGAAGTGACATTTTGGATTTAAGCGCGTTATCTATGTATTACAAGTAAATTATTAAGTCAGGGATTTCGTTACCACAAATTACTTAAAACTTTTACTAAATTCTTTCATAGATACAAAGATTTGGTCTGCAAGTTTGGCTGTACCTGTAGAAAACTTTTTTCAAATGGAATAGCACATCCTAAATTTTACGGTGATGTTGTAAACCGAGCCTGGAAATTTATATACGAACCGGGTAAACTTATTAATCCTTTAAATAAACTTTTTCTAAAAGGTTGCCTATTCAGCACTGCAAATAAATCTTTGAATATTGTTTTTGTTGGTGTAAATATTGATTGTGTTATCAGTAAATTAAAACCATACTAAATATAACATATATGTACTTTCATGGTACTACAATCTGTCTATACTTCTAGTTTGGCATTGAACAAGGTCATGTTTTTCTCTGACTTAATGACGTCTTTACACTAAATCCATTGGATGTTGGATGTGTACTGATTGATATTTAAGTCTTAGATGCATGATTTTTTCATTAGTTGTTATTGGCTTTCAACTAGCTGTCAGTAACTGCGAGTACTCTCAAGATCTGTACTTTTTGTTTTTGGGATATATAAGTACCCGTCCACGTCCACTTTGTGTTTTTGTTAGTTGTATTTCTACTTGTATCCATCTGATGAATTTAGCCTTTTTCAACTGTCTTTTATAGTTTGTTCTTATGTTGTACTGTTACACCACTGTCCCAGGTTAGGGGGAGGGTTGAGCACTCACAAACATGTTTAATCCCGCCACATTCTTTATGTGCCTGTCCCAAGTCAGGAGCCTGTAGTTCAGTGGTTGTCGTTGGTTCATGTCTGTCATTTTTGTTTTTCGTAATGTTTTGTTATAAATTAGGCCGTTAGTTTTCTCAATTAAATTGATTCATATTTTTTGTGTCGGGCCTTTATAGCCGACCATACAGTATGGGTTTATCTCATTGTTGAAGGCCGTACGGTTGCCTATAACTGCTTACATCCACTTCATTTGAACTTTGGTGGATAGTTGTCTCATTGGCAATCATACCACATCTCCTAATTTTTATATTAACTAAATTCTCTAATTTACGTACTCATTTAACCATTCTATAATTGAATCCTTGTTATTTTCACCTCCATATAAAAATTTCTTCTTTCCATTTCTGTAAACAAAACAAAACAAAACTGTTTCAAAAATGAATTTCAAATTATTAAGTCAATATCCAAAATATTCAAAACTTGATTTCAACAAAGTATCAATATGAAGTACATTTTCAATAATAAATAATATTACAAAAAGAAGACTCTTTATATTTAAGAAAAAATATTCGTTGATTTATTGTTTATTTGAATGTTTAATCTTTTACATTAATTTACTGGTGCCTTTATTTTAGAAAAAAACCAGAAGCAACATAATTGTTGTAATAGTCACAAATTTTATTCATCGTACTGACAACATATAACTCATTGTCCTCATTTAAATAGATATATATACTCAGCAACAAAAGAAATGCACCACATCCATTAATTTCTATGGAGTAAATTTTTTTACTACATAATACTTTTTTATAAGTGATTAAAACGAGTCAAAATTTTAACACAACTTTTCTGAAAACATAAACACCAAATTCTGTAAAAATGAGAATTTTCTGAATTTCAATTTTTGACAATTCAAAAAACACATTTCTAACCCAAAAAACAAAACAATGATGCAAATATTTTAAAAACTTAAGTTATGGATATCTTTCCATCTGAAAACAACATTAATGACTTTAATTTTCATTTTCTTGATTAAATTCTTTTCTAATGACCAATTTGAAATTGACCTATTTCTGATTTGTGATTTTTTTAGTTTTGTGGTTGAAATATCCATTGTTGCCACTAGAATGAAAATTTCTATGTAAACTCTGCATTAATTTCAAATTTATGCTTAAAATATACTAGATTTCAACAAATTTGTATCAAAAACAGGAAATTTTGAAATTGCTATAATGGTAAGATGTGGTGCGTTATTTGTGTTATTAAGCAGAGGAGGGGCGACAGTCTTAGGTGCTGTGTTCAAATTTTTGTAGGTCACATGGTACGATTTTAGCGTCCCTCAACAATTTTGAATTTGGAAAAGATTGATTTGTTCATGTTTTTATATCAAATGTACTCTTTTGCACTCGCAGAAAATATAGAAAGTTTTGAAATAAAAAAATTAATCAATGATAGAAGATCACTTTATATAAAATATTTTCTTAATGTTTTTTACCTTTAAAGTAAATTCTATCAATAAAGAAATGTACTGTAATGGCGGGAAATTTTATTCGATCTCTGCGAAATCACGAGCACAGATTAGTGTAAATTTTACAAATGTCAGCACGTGAAAATCATTCAAATTTATGTCAATCAAAAAACTCTATTCGAACATTCTAAATCTTCTTAAGTCTCCTTAAGTCTCCAGCAGTTGCTTCGTAATAAGTCGCTAAAATATGATTTCCGGTAAGTAAAATATCAAAAATATTTGTCAAATCCGCGAGTAATTATGTTATTTTAGGCATATAAACTCTTATGTAATTTAACTATTCTGAAAACAAAATGAAAATTTTGTCCTATGAATAACCATTATGAAAAAATATAGTTTTTTCATAATTGAATCGTGCATTATTTGTGTATTGGATTGCTTAATTGCTTTCTCTCTAGTGTTATCTCTGTTTTGTTTACTGACAAATGACGAAATAATGCAATATTTAAAATTTAGTATTTTACAAACCTTTGTCCCGATTAAAAACTTAAAACCGACTGAATAAATTGAGAATTCAGTGATTATCGATGTCAAATTAGCCCTTGGTAATAAACAATCAGTTTGGGTATAAATATGTTTATTGCCAAGAAATAACCAACAAATTTGTTTATTATGTATGTACAAAGTATATGTTTATTGCATGATCAGCCCTTCTGTATATTACTTTTTTTTTTTAATTGATTTAACAAATTTCGCTTGTCCAGGTGTCATTAACGGTGATGTCCTCACCACGAGTAGTTTGATATAAATGACACAATACCATCGCGACCGATTGATAATATAAGACAAATCTGCGTGCCGTGTGCAGAGTGTCGTCCCTCCTCTAGTTACTCAGTATACATATATGTAAAAAACAGCCATTCATGAATTAAGAATTCATAAAATAATGAAAATTACCTTTATTTTGTATCATTTGAAAAAAATATTTCAAGTAATTTATACCTTATACCGGTAATACATATTGCATAAAAAATTTTTACCCAATAATTGCCAATAATAAGTTTAGTTTTTATCACATGTTATGGACTTTTTCATTAGACAATGATCCATAAACAAGTTTAGGGTAAAATGAAACTGTTTTCATACACAAAAAAACCAAAAAGCTCACTTGAGTGTGCATGGCTAATCTGGTAGCTAGCTGTAGGTTTTATGCATATATATATATATATATATATATAATAAACTACAATTTGAAGCTAGAGATTATTTTATTTTCAAATAAAAGAAGATTACATCTGTGGATAGGAATGCCCCCATCACTTTAAGGTTAAAAGGGTTCAGCAAACCAAGCCATTTGCAAAATGAAAACCAAAATATGTCAAATTAATCTTAACTTGGCCATTGTCTCTATCAACAAGGAATAGAACTCTGGTATGACATATTTGAAAATATCTAAAACTCTGTTTAGTGGATTCTTAAAATGTAATCAACATTCAAATGATTTTGTTCAAGCATACTCAAGAAGTTCTATAAAGGAAACCTCAAATCTGTTTAAAAGCTTAATAAGAAATCATATTTGAACTGAACAAACATAAAGCATTTTAAATACAGATTTACATTAGTTTTCAAAATAATCATCAGTTAGACAGAAAAACAATGGGTCCTTATCAAGCAAGTTAATAGAACTTTTTCTTTACTTTGCACTGGCTGATTTCTAGAAATAACAAATTCATAGTGTGGGAATTAATTTAACTTTTTGCAATGTTGATGTAGATTTTCTGAGATTGCATCAGAATAATGTTGACTATTGTCTAATTCTTGAACTATAAATGAGCCTATAAACATGCTGTCAGATTAAAATTATAATCTTTTATATGAAAAATAATCACAGGGTTTGGCTGTTATGTAAACCAATTTGAATTTTAAAATCTGTGACCTATTTAGTGTATTTATCTAGAAAATACTTGGTTAAGGAAGATACACCTTTCATGTTACATTGTAATACTGCCACAGACTCAAAACATATGAAACAATATCAAATATTAGGTGAATGAGGAGTGTCACTTTTACAGGAATTCAAAGCACACAGACAATATGATTTGTTATATTATTACAACCTTTTTATATATCTGGGATATTATTATGAAATCACAATACAAGTAATATCTTCAAGGATATATAATTATTTTTTTTAATATAAATGAATTCTTTACTCTAAAATTGTTGAAACAAGTTTTGTTTCTATCATCAAAATTTAGTGCAAAACCTGCAACAAACAACCCAATAACTAAATAAAAATATATCAATTTTGAAAACAAAATTATCATTTGTGCAGCATGCTGACAACACAAATCTGTTTCCATCAATATATTGAAAAAATAACAACATTTAAAATGCAAATAAATGATTCTTACTTGATAAGCTGCATGATGTGAACAAAGGCTTGAAACAAAGTTATGTCAAAACAAATGCTAAAATCTACTTTATAACACAACAATGAAAATTCTGATGTTCCTAACTTATTAATCTTGTTCTGTAAAATATTCGGGAGATGTGCCAAATAAATTTCTTTTAATAAATTATCTGTTATACTGTTGATTCATTTATTTTCGTGGATACCAATTGTCGTTGATTCAAGACAAATTATTATTGTGGATACTTGATGTCTTGGTTTTGCCAAAGTTTCCATAAAAGCATATAGGATATTTATACTTCATTGAAAAAAAAACCTCATGGTTTGCCTCACGAAATCCATGAAAATAGGTACCGAATGAATAGTTATGAATCCACAATATGTGAATATAATTATCTATTGACATTATCTGTTAAATTTACTGCAAATATCAGTATAAATATCTATTTGTTTTCCTATACTTTATACCAAAGATTACAGACATAGCTAGAAAGTAGGTTCCATTCTACAAGTTGCAGTATTAAAACACTACAGAAATACTATATATCATAACATGTTTAGAACATGGAGTGACCATTTTTGTCTTTTTTCAATAAAAGCACAATTTCTTTCAAAAACTGTTGACACAGAGATATGTCTGGCCTTTATGTTATTTTGATAGTATAATGCAAATGTTGAACTTAAAATGGCAATACTTTAACATACAAACTCTGCAGAACATTCAAAGTCAATGAACCATGACTGAAGGTGTAGGCCCAAATAATCTCCCTGGAGATGAAAAAATGCCAATACAACTGCATACCAAATACCTAAGACTTTAAGGGTGAGGTCAAATAATCTCCATGGAAATGAGATCTACAAATGTTTATACAACTACATATCAGATATCATTGACCTACCATTTGCTGTTTCCCTCAAACTGACCTTATCACAAACTAATACATGATAAATAAGCAAAAGTTTCAAAGGTAATAGAACATGACTGAGGGGGCAGGGCAAAATAATCTCCATGGAAATGAGATGTGCCAGTACTAAAACAACTACATACAAAATATCACTGACCTAACACTAGTGGATCCCTTTTAGCTGACCTAATCACAAACTTATACATTGTTGGTGCCGCAGATACAGCATGCCTATGTCTTGCTTTTTTTACTTCAACAAGGCAAGACCATAATATACCATTAAACAATACTACAATAAGCCAGTGTATTTAAGCAAAATAATTTAAGAAAAAATGTAGTTTATTTTCCCATTTCAATACAACATTTAGGAAAATTAAGTTACAGAAAGCCAAAGTGAAGATTACATACTGTAAACCAAACTTATTTCGAGACTTATGTGAGTAGAAAAATAACAAAAATTAAAATCATCGCGAATATGTGAAATTTATATCCTCCTTTTTATAGATCAAGTATATGAGAAGATTGCGAAAAATGAATCACTGTTGGCTAGAAAGAGCTTAATGCTAAATATAGTATGTGTGCAAATAAGTTGGTTTACAGTAGTTTCATACTACTACTACTTCAAGAAATAGATGTATTTTGTGAAAGCTTGTGAACAAGATACTGTAAATAAAAGTGTTGTTCCTAAGCTGAGTGCAACAGTACATACTCAAAGTAATACAGAGTTGGAAAACCTGTTATGTTGTATTCAGCACGTAGGGGCATCTGATGAGGCTTATCAACATCAATACCAGCAAGTGCCTGTAAACAAATAACATACAAATACATAAGAATACACTAAGAAGTAATCACAATTTCAAAGACCTCAGGTAGAATTATAATGTAAAGGCCCAGGCCATGTGAAAATTTCCAAAAAATCAATCAAAGCCTATGTAAATTGTTTTTTAAATGTAAATGTAAACAAATATGTGCTACAAGCAGAAAACTTGTTATATTATTTTTAGTTAAGCCTAAAGTGGTGTTGATGGCAGATCTTTGATTGTTTGTTTTAATTTATTCACAACTTTTTTAGACTCAAGATGATTTAATGCTTGACATATTGTATAAACACATATCTACTTTTGAAGACTGTATGTTGCCATCTAGATGTCTTTTTGTTATTTGTGTTACTGGTTTTCTGTCTCATTGAAGTATTACCCATACATTCCATTTAATGTTTTAATCATAAGACAAAAGATATCTGCTTTTTTCAATATTACCCACCACTTTTCCTTTAAGTTCTGTTGCTGCAGCAGAAAAATCTGGTTTCATTCTCTTACAAAATCCACACCCTAGAATATAAGAATTAGTTAAACTATAAAATAAAAGTATTGTTGACAAAAAATCTAACTAGGTTTTTAATGGAAATCATTAATGTATACTTTATCCCAATTTCTGGCAACTATTTTCCCTTTGCAGAATTTGTCAGGCTTGTAAATTTAAGACGAAAAGACAATGGTGTGTTTGTATTTTAACCATAATTGGGTACCATTTCTCTAAATTTAGTAGGTAATCTCTTTGAAGGAGAAAATGACTTTTTCATTTAATTATAAATCAGAGCTATCTTATTTTAGTGATTGTAAAACCATGTTGTAACTGAAATTATTTGTTGGTTGCTAGTTACGGTATGTAATCTTTCTTTATGATTGATGGTTTCTTTCTTAACTTCCAACCACCTCGGTGGTCTTGTGGTAGCGTGTTCGCCTCGAGTGCGGGAGGTCGTGGGTTCGAACCCGTGCCAGGTCAAACCAAAGACTTTAAAATTGGTCTTTGCTGCTTCTCCGCTAAGCACGCAGCATTAAGGAGTAAGAGCAAAGACTGGTCAGTTCGGAGTCAGAAAAATGTGTCTGGGTAAGGTAACATGTCTTCCTGCGGACTGTTACCTTGAGAACTAGCACGTTAAAAATCAGCGTGTCGGTCTAGTACAAAGCAGGGTTAATATTCATATTACATTAACATGTTCTTGTCCTGAATATGCATATTCATTTGCCTCTGGACGTTAAGCAGCCATTCATCATCATCATCTTATTAACTTCCAGTGGCATTCCTTATGTAATTTAACGATGTTATTATTTGAAAGTAAATTGTCATATTTTCAGGACAAGGCTTATTCTATGTACATGATGTACAAGAATGTAATAAATTTTACTTTTATACATGTATCTACTTACATGGAGCATAAAACATAGCTAGTATTTTCTTCTTTTGCTTCAATAGTTTACCAAATTGCTGAAATATATAACAATATTTATTATGTCAATTTGTACTGGATCACATCTACTATATTTATAAATACCTTTTATTAAATTCTATTAACAATTGCTTATGTATCCCAGAACTTAATTTTGATCACACGGTGTAAGATTTTCTTGTTTTATTAGTGAATACTTTATTTTTATTTAACTGACTGCACTATTATTTTATATAAGCCAATATTCTATTTGTAACACATGAATTTAAATCTATTTGGTTCTAAGACAGAACTGTAAATGTAGAAACTGATGATCCATGATTTGCAGAGACAATTATTATATTTATGTCACATGTTACAAGACATACCTCTGGAGTTTCTACATGTACAACATCTCCAGCTGTTGGTTCTTCCTCCCATGGTATATCTCCTGTAGGATCCATCAGGAAGTTCACCAAAGACTTAAAAAATAATACCAAACATTAGTATGTCCAATGAAAATATTTCCATATAAATATGATGCTGTTGAATGGTTTTTTTAAGGTTCAGCAGCAAATTAAATGAATACTGTAAATTCAGAAATTATTGGGAGGTTTTTATTAATGCAAATAATGCGACTGGGTGAGTATCGCAATAATAAGAACTCGCATTCTGATAACATAGAGCTGTATGCAGATTTTATCGAAATCGTAAAAATCACAATAATTAAACTTGCATTTTTGTCCATTCTTGAAAAATCGCAATAACAAAAGCACGCAATAATTTTTGAATTAACAGTATTTAGGACGAGAACTTGTTAAAGTGATATGCAATTAACCCTGCTTGGTAGTAGACCGAGTCACAGTCTACAGGAAGACATGTCACCATACATCAAGCTAACCAGTCTTTGTTCTTACTCCTTTTTGCCAAATGTTCAACTGAGTAGCAGCAAATACCAATTGTAAAGTCCTGGTAATCACCCTACAAGGAGACCTCTAAGCTTGTCACCATATAAATACATTTGTATTAAATTGAATGAAGCAATACAGAATGAATTGGATTATTATGTTAGAAATGAACAGGTATAATTAATGTGCAATTAAATAAAATAGAATGATTTTTGCTAGATATAATCATAACAAGAGTGCACATGCTGAAATGTCTCGCCTACTATACTGACCATTGATCTTATGTTGATAGTTCTTAATATAAAGTTTTATTACAAGTATCACATTAACATTTATGATCCAAGAAAATGAGGTCAAGGTCAGATAAACCAAGGCAGAAATACATGTACAGCTTTAATACAATCATTCAATACACAGAATATAGAAGACCTATTGCTTATAGTATAAAAGAAACAGACCAAACCATGGAAATTCCACAGACAAACCCTGCCAGACAGACCTGTACACCTTAAAATCATTCCATGCTTCAAATATAGTTGACCTATTGCTTATAGTATCTAAGAAACAAAGTCAACCAGGAAAACTGAACATTGACCAATGAACCATGAAAATGAGGTGAAGGTCAGATGATACCTGCGAGACAGACATATACACCTTACAATCATTCCATACACCAAATATAATTAACCTATTGCTTAAAGTTTAAGAAAAACAGACCAAAACACAAAAACTTATCATAAGCAATGAACCATGAAAATGAGGTCAAGGTCAAATAAAACCTGCCAGACTGACATGTACATCGTGAAATATTTCAATACACCAAATATAGTTGACCTTTTGCATACATTATTAGAAAAACAGACCAAAACACAAAAACTTAAAATTGTGAAATGAGCCGTGAAAATAAGGTCAAGGTCAGATGACACCTGCCAGTTGGACATGTACACCTTACAATCATTACATACACCAAATATAGTAGACCTATTACTTATAGTATCTGAGATATGGACTTGACCACGAAAACTTAACCTTGTTCACTGATCCATGAAATGAGGTCATGGTCAAATGAAAACTGTCTGACAGGCATGAGGACCTTGCAAGGTACGCACATACCAAATATAGTTATCCTATTACTCATAATAAGAGAGAAATTAACATTACAAAAAAATCTTAACTTTTTGCTTCAAGTAGTCACTGAATCATGAAAATGAGGTCAAGGACAATGGACATATGACAGACGGAAACTTCATATCATAAGGCATCTATATACAAAGTATGAAGCATCCAGGTCTTCTACCTTCTGAAATATTAAGCTTTTAAGAAGTTATTTGACTGCTGCCGCCGCCGCTGCCAGATCACTATCCCTATGTCGAGCTTTCTGCGACAATAGTCGCAGGTTCGACAAAAAAATCATCACTTTTATATCTGAAATCACAACAAACCCCTTTCAAATGTGTCACTTTCTAACAGTTTTCACTAAGCCCAAGAACTCTCTCTTAAAATATTTCAAAAAAGCAAACAACTGAAATCCGATAAATAACTTGAAAAAATCCCATCTATACTTAATCTATAAAAACAAAAAACATCTATGAAACATTTATTCTGTAATCCTTTCCAACAACATCTAATAAATTTTTTTTTGTTTAAAACACACAAACATACTTTAGTACTATGCAGCTACTGGTTAGCCTAATTATAAATTAAATACTGCTGATTTATTATTATTCATATGGTATAATTTTCTTTTATTTCCTGAGAATAGGTGAACCATGGTTTCTAGTGTTCAACCAAATACTTATTTCCTAAAAGGACTTGTGTGCAGTAATTGAAAACCACAAACATGATGAATTCAGGTATCAACAAAATTATTATCTTTCCTCAATAAAAAAAATAGTACCTACCAAAATGAATATATCTATGCATATAGTAAAATAATACTGTTACCTTAGAAACCAGTTTTCTATCATAATCTTTATTGTAAGATCCATCCCTAAAAGCATACAAAAAATCCTTAAATCAAATTAAAAACAGTGTTACTGTCTTGTTTATCATATTGCAACCAAGCTATTTGCGCAAATATAAACTTTGCCTTTATACAGTCACTGACCATATCTAACCTTGTTTTTGGCAATGATAATGTGTTTCTATAGAAAGTTTTCTATGCCACGAAAGAATGCAGTTTCGCAGAATTTTTACGTCCTACTCTTCAAATTCTCAATTGTTGATTTCATATGGAACAAATTTTAAGAGTTGCAGTATAAAGAAATGTGAGGCCCTGCCAAACATTTCTATTATGTTTAGACCAAAGTACAATTACAGTTTATTTTTTAGACCTCGCCGCTATATAGCCTTGTTGTGCTAATGCGGCGTAAAGTAACCAACAATCAATATTTTTTAGACAATGTCTAGTTGTTCTATTTATACTGCAATTAACGAAACTGTTAAAATTAACAATTATGAATCTGAAGCATTTAAAGTCAAAGGGTATAAAATAAATTCATTTCAACCATCAGTACAAAAATCTCTACCAGATCAACTTGATGTAGACTGTCATAATTATGACTATCTTGAAATTTCATCTCATGTAAAACTATATATATACATATAATGTCTAAAAATAGCAACATTCAATCTATCTAGGCGTGGATCAGTTTGAAAATAAACTGATGCAGTTACTAAATTAAATTATATAAATGCCTAAGAATGTAACTTTAACACAGGAATGAGTGTTATAAATATGGTTGTTATATTTTATATATTCACGCAATATTTCGCTAAACAAATTAGCTTCATCAGGCGCATGCAGCCATCCAGGTAAAAATCTGATGGAGTAAAGAAATTTTTGCAGCTTATTGTACATGTCTTTTAAATATATTTTTGCAGCTTATTGTACATTGCGATTCTTAAATCAAAACAAATAATTGTGTGAGTTAAATAGTAAGAAGTTCAAGATTTATTCCTTTGGTTTTGGATAAAACTGTTTTTCATCTCTCTCATTCAGTCCATCAGGTTCAAGAGTACGTAGATGATGCATCCAGAATCTCTCTGTTTTCTAATTTGGGTGTCCCAATTTTGTATATGTATATATGTATATGTATATATATATTTACAGCAATTATAGGAAACCATATCAAAATGGTGAATATTCAATACTCACTTGTAATGTTTTACTTCAATAGTACTGGGAGACACTTTCTGATTCTTACATAACTTCTTAGCATCACTACAATGGAAATCAATAATTTTTTTTATAATAGAGGCAAATTTATATTGACCTTTGGTAACTACATGTATTGCTTTGTAGAATATTTCTAAGCACTTTGCTAGATTTCCACAGATATTTTTTTTTAAGTTTCACACATTGTCAAGTGATTTTTATTAAACTGTTAAATCATAAGTTTTTTTCATTCTTTTTCTCTGACAGTTGGAACTTGGCAAAACATTTAAATAAACATTTCTAATTTTCTTTTGGTTTGACGGAGTCTGTTAACCTTATGCATGCACTTTCAGCTGTTAGGGGAAAAATAGATAGAACAGATGTAGCTCAATATTTTTAAATGGCAATGACCTCTGCCAATGGGGATTTTTTACAAAGCTATGGTGTATTCATATTAAAGGAATAGTAAAAAAAATGAATAAATGGGAGGAGATTTGTACTTTTTAGAAGAGAACATGGTGAACATTGCATATCTTATATGGATTTAAGTTTATTATATTCAGGGTTTTCTGCAGAGTTTTCATTGTTATCATATGAGAAAGAGTAAAAATTTTCAATAAAAAATGTTTCAGCCATGAAGCATATACAATTGAGGTGGTTTGTCATACATATATCAACTCTTCTGATAAACCATATCAGAGATATAGACATACATTACAAGTTTACATAACAAAAACAGAAACATGCATACAAAACTTGAGTACTAGCTTTACCATGAATTGTACAAAAAGGACAGGGTCCATGAACAGTCTAGTGAACAATTGAAACAAGTGGTTTTCTAATCACTCTGATAGTAATTTTAGAAATTTTTCTTAAAATTGTATTAATATGAGTTTTAATTCGGGAGTTCCTCAAATACATTCCATTCTACATTTGTGAGAATTTTAACATATAATGAAAGATCAATGCAATAGATTTATGACAAAAAAATAACCATTCTAAAAGATGAGAAGTGAAAGACAATAATATAAAAATAAGGAAATGTGGTATGATTGCCAATGAGACAACTATCCACCAAAGTTCAAATAAAAAGTAAAATCACAAAAATACTGAACTCCGAGGAAAATTCAAAAAGGAAAGTCCCCAATCAAATGGCAAAATCAAAAGTTCAAACACATCAAACGAATAAAGTGAATGTAGGCAATTATAGGCAACCGTATGTCCTTCAATAATGAGAAAAACCCATACTGTATAGTCAGCTATAAAAGGCCCTAACATGAAAAATATGAAACTAATGGCCTAATTTATAACAAAACAATTTACGAAAAACAAATATGACAGACATAAACCAACAACAACCACTGAACTACAGGCTCCTGACTTGGGACAGGCACTTCAAAGAATGTAGCGGGGTTAAACATGTTTGTGAGCGCTCAACCCTCACCCTAACTTGGGACAGTTGTGTAACAGCACAACATAAGGAACAAACTATAAAAATCAGTTGAAAAAGGCTTAACTCATCAGATCAATACAGAGCAATAAATATCAAACAAAAACACAGACCGGACGTGGCAGGGTATTTATCCATCCCTTATCCCTAAAAACAAAAAGGACACTAATAACAGATCTAAGAGTACTCGTCGTTACTGACAGCTAATTTAAAGCTCATTTTTGAAGTGTTTAATGGCATTTTTAATGCCAATTTTCTATTGGAAAAAAATTCTGCATATCAGTGGTAATTTTTCCAAAAAACTAGAATAATTCAGTTTCATTTTAATTCAATCAGAAACTAATATTTCAAACATTTTTAAAACTTTATGGGACATGAAGACACATTGTGTCTAGTGCAAAAAAAATATATTTGTGTAGGTCATATTGTTTTTTTTAACTCTTTTCAAAATGTGGAAATGGTTGTAAAGAGACATTTAATTTGAATCTATTCATTCAATTATTTTATTTTACTTAATTTGGAAAGTAAATTTATAAAATTTTCAATATTGCTTAATCTCCATCAGTACAAAATATGTCATATTTGGTTTCATGCTTAAAAGGGTTGAACAAATATTCCACTGAATTTGACAGCTGTAGGAAATTAAACCTGCACTTCATTGCAGATTTTTTTTCTGTGTCATAAACAAATATCTTGATTGTTTCAAAGCACCATCCTTTTTTTGTGTTCCTATAAAATATTTTGAAAACTTGAGGTGACATGGTTACTAAAGAAGAGGGCAAAGAAGTTGCTTTGTTACTGCTAGTGATCGTTATATTCTTATGCAATGAATTGTTTTGTGAAATTTTCCCTCACTGTAGTACTGGACATAATGAAACTTTACTCATACCAATTATTTCTTTATCATGTTTATTTGAAACAAAGATAATTCTGCAAATTTTTTTTTTTAAATGCCAATTTAACAAAGACTAATAGGGGAAAAAATGGTGGAATTACCCCAAAAATCACACATTCAAGGGGTCCCCCTGAATGATGATTAAGCTCAAACAAAAAGAGAAACTTATCTGAAGCATGGAAATCATTTAAAAAATCTAATAGTTTATATGCAGTATGTGAATCATAAATGGACAGCTAGATAATATCTTCAAAAAAAACAAAAAATATCCTAACATACCAAAAGAAAGTGATAGACTCACTTGCCGATCAATAAATATATGATTGTTTTACTTTGTTCAAAATTGCTGTAATTTAACTGGTAGGAATATGGATATATTTTCATAAAATTTGTGTGAAGTCAAGTTTTGTGTAACCATCTCAATTTTGCCTTATCTAACCCTTGAGACCCCTCCCCCACATTCATGAGAAAGGCATCTAACATAATCATTATTCAACAATTTCTTACTTTGGTCTACTTCTTAAGTAACATTTAAAAAGGAATATTATAAGCATTACTGCATTTGATTAAGATATAGCTCACAGTCTTGTAAATATTCATGTGTGATTTTGGAAAAAAATTCCTTTTAACTTATCACAAATATGTTTTACCTGCAGTCGACCAGACCCAGGGTGGCTTTGCCCTTCATCTGTTCAGCTACATCTTCAAATACATTTTTCAGCTTCCCATACTCTTTGCCTGTAACAAAAGTTATTAATTAACTTGTGCTGATACACTTTAAAGACAAACAGGAATTTGCTTTTACCATAATGATTATTAATCTGTTAACAGCAGTTAAAGAAAAAAAAGCTAAATGCACTGTTCATATTATAATTACATATAAAATATCAATGCAATCTCAACAGGCAAAGAAATACTGTTAAGACTACTTTTATTATAGCTAGAAGATACTATAGTTGGTCCACAGAAATAATCAAACTAGAGGCTCTTAAGAGCCTGAATAACTTTTCTGGCAAAAATATGCAATTTAGATATTTATTTTTTACCTTTTACATTGCATCAATTTTTTTTATTATTATTTTTTTAATACACAGCTTTTCTACCATGTCTACTACATTCAAGTAAAATCAACACCATTAACTTATTTTTCTTCAGTGCCTGGATCACATTATTCATTACAAGATAAAAGGCAAAAAAAATATACTAAAATTGGTGTGAAAAAAAAATCTCATCATTCCAGGGCAATATAAGGAATCAAATCACTCAATCAACATTTTCAGTAATGTAGACTTATTAAGTTTCTCTCAATCTATTATAGTTTTAATGATTATTGCCAAAAATGCCATATTTTTGTAACACTATCATCATTTAGTGGCAAAAACTCTTTTAATGAGTTGATAGACAGTTATTTTTGTTTATTTGTAGATCTTATCTCGCTGCAGAAGAAGAAATATATAATTTCAAAAGTTTGACATTTAATGTCTTACTAGATTATTAACTAATATTTTAATATAGCATCTTTAATATAAACATTTATTTATGAGATTTACTGGTTCAGGGTATTTCATCTACATGTACCAACAATGTTATTTTTAATCTTCATGTACATGATGTATCTAACCATGTACTTTCAATTTCAAAGGGGATTTATTGATAACTTATATAAAAGCAATTGATTTTCATATAACAGATACCTGCATTGAAATTAACAATGGGAATCAAACAGCTGTGAAACATACATATGAATGAGATAAATAAAAATGATGATAAATTAAAGTGCAAGCTGTTGACAAAAAAATACAATTTTTTCTACGGATACTTTACATAATAAATCAATGGATGTTGATTCAGTGCAACATTTTGAGTTAATATTTCTGCTTGAGAGAGGAAAATGGTAAAATTATATCACCTGATTTCGCATAAATAATAAGTAGATTGGTTTTTGTCCTGAGTATCTTCTTAAATTCTTTTGGATCATCGATATCTTGTATCAGAGAAACTTTCTGTCTGGCACCCAACTTAACTGAAACATTCACCTACAAAATAAACAACATACGGTTACATTTAAACATCATTGGTCAAAAGGTTGATAAGCCATTCATTAACAAAATAATACTGTAAATTCAGAAATTATTGCAAAGTTTTTATAAATGCGAATAATGTGACTTGGTGAGTATTGCAATAATAAGCACTTGCATTCTGTCTTCTGATATCCGATACATACTTCTGTAAGCAGATTTTGCTGAAATCCCAATAGTTAATCTCTCTATTTTGTCCATTCTTCAAAAATCGCAATAACAAATGCATGCAATAATTTCTAAATTTACAGTAATGTAATATAACAAACATCTAAAAAAAGATTGATTAATATAAGGTTTAAGAGATAAAAAAAAACAAATAACTTCAATTACATGTGTTCAGACTGGTGTTATGACCTTCACATTTAATCTAGTGACCTCATTTCCTAAGTGGTCTTCCTCGTCTCAGAAGGCATTGTTCAAAATGTTTGGTAAATTTAAGTTTTTCACTCAAAAGATATCACCTGGAAACACAAAAAATGACAAAAAAACTGAGGTCACCATTCAGCAGAAATTATCACAAGCCAAGTTTGATACATCACAATATACTTTAATCTTGTGTTTTGACAAGAGTACATGTAACTCAAGAAAAATGTTTGTTGAGTCATTATAATATCACTATTCTAATCCTTTCTTCGATCTTGTAATGACAAATGCATGTGGGAAAAAAAAAACATAAAAGAAAATGTAATCAAAATGTAAAATAATTTCATATCATAAAACATGTAGATAACAGTCAATCTTTTAGCATTATATTAGCTTTCCAAGACGTAATAAATTCTCTCTTCCGTTTTTCTGTTTCGTACCTTTTTCGTTTCTCCTTTTGATCTTCACAATTAGCTGCAGGGGGACGTTTTTGTGGGTTAAATTTATGTTGGAAATGCTCCATCTCGGTTTTGTTTTTTTATGGGGCTGTCATTTTGATAACTGAAGTCTCGCGAAATCACGGACATGCGTTATCGCCAGATAATGAGATTTGATTGGTCATTATTTTTATTCGCTATCTCGTATCTGCATATTGATTAAAGTAAAAAGAAAGTACGATTACTTGGCAGACAAAAACCCTTGGGTCCATCTGGCCTGAAAATATTTTCCTACTGGTCCAACTGGCCCTAAGACATTCTCTGGCCCGGCGGGCCACTATACTTTCAAAACACTCGACCCCAGCATCATTTAACTGGCCACAGGCCAGCAGGCCAGTGGTTACGTCGACCCCTGCAGCCTTAGACTCTAAAATTGGAAATGTGATATTTAAAACCCAATAATATCCCAGAAATTTAGTTTTAAATTAATGGAATCAAAATGTTTATCTCAACAAAGCTACACGATTCAAATGTTTTTTTGAACTTTGAAAGTCTGAAACTAACAGCACTGTCAGCAGTTTTACAAACCAATTAATAGACTTGTTACAAAGTTCTGTTTTAATTGATGAATGAAATGTCCCTGTCATGCCTGTTGATCTAGGGTCATTTGGGGTAAAAACACACTGTAGGACATTGTGAAGTGCAGATAGTTGCTTTCTGATGTCAATTTTTCTGGGAAAAATGCACTTATTGGATAATATGTATACAACTTGCATTCAGAAAGTATGTGTAAATCAAATCAAATCAAATCAGATAATTTTATTGGTGTAAATTTCAATACAGGAATGATACCAGCTGACATTTACAAAATACAAATACAAAAACAGACAAAAATAAACAAAAAACAAATATACAGAGATATGTTTTCTCAATGATAAGAGACACATATTTTATATCTACATTGCATGGAGGTGTTATTCATACTATATTATCACTTCAAGTTATTACAATAAGCTTTAATACTACAACAGTTCTTAACAACATTATGTTTGCTTTAAATGAATGTTCGAATCATACATATCGCTTATTCCAGCTACACATACAGTACAAATGTCAGTATCATTACTTTTCAAAATGAAACTAAATTTATCTTGTTCAGACATATTAACAAAAGATGGAACTATATCACTTAAATTACAAAAGAGTATATTTCTATTAAATTCTAACGCTTTACATTTAATGAGGAAATGGAATTCATCTTCAATTCCATCCTTGCAAAGTGGACAAATTCTCTGTTCTAAAGGTGTTCTAGTATATCTACCAACTTCTTTTAGTAATTTGCTATTTCTAATTCTAATTTTTACCATTTTAGAAATAACATTTTTGTTAAGGTCCAGTAGGAGATATTTTTCTAATTCGTAATTATTTTTAACTTTGCGATACGTTCTTAGTTTATTACCATGACTATCTTTATTAGAGTCACAAAAAGAGCTTGTTTCCAGGATTTTATGAATTCCTCCTCTAATTTCTTCTGAACTGAAAAAAGTAATTTTGTCTTTGACATAGTATTTTGATTTTCCCAAACATGCTGAAAACCAAGTTTACCTAATAACACTTTTATTTTACTACAAAAACCATTAGACATGTTAAAGTTTTCACTGTATGCTTTCTTTACCATACTCTCGCTATTCATATTGATGATATGAATCCAGAAATTAATTGTATTTTTAAGGGCTGACAATGAAAGTGGGAATAATCCTAATTCAGCAAGTACAGCATTATTCACAGCACCTTTATTTACACCCAATAAAAATTTAGCAAATTTGATTTGCATCTTATTTGAACTAAAGTTTGCATAGTTTGACTCGATGGTAGTATTTTGTTTCACTAAACTAACGGTAGCCCAAACTTCACTGCTATATAATAAAATAGGTTTAACACATGAATCAAAAAGCTTTAAATGTGGTAGTAAATTCATCTTTTCAGGATATGATAATTTTCTAATACAAAAAATAGCTTTGCTAGCCTTTTTAGATAACTGATCAATTGCTGTAGTAAAAGATCCAGATGGTTTAAAAATTATACCTAGATACTTGTATTCATCAGTCAGCTCTAGTAGTTTTCCATTATAATAGAAATTGTGTTTTTTAATAATTTTTCCTGTTTTATTGAATATTATAATCTTTGTTTTATTAAGATTGACAGATAGATTCCATTTATCACAAAACATATTTAATTTATCTAAAGCATTTTGCAGGCCAGATGCAGATTCTGATATTACTACTAAATCGTCTGCATAAAGAAGACAAGACACTTGTTTATCATCTAGGCATGCTGGATCACATTTGTGGTCAAACGTTTCAACCAGTTCATTTATATACAATGAAAATAATGTAGGGCTTAATATACAACCCTGTTTTAATCCTACACATGAGGGAAATGTTTGTGTTAGTCCCTCTTTTAATTTTACAGAGAAAGGGACATCTTTGTACATATGTTTTAAAATATTAAAAAAAGACCCTTTTATATTATATTTTAGTAATTTATGAAAAAGGCCATCTCTATTGATTGTGTCAAACGCTTTTCTTAGATCTACAAAACAAGTGTATAGATGTTTAGATTTTTTATAGGTCTTGTCAATCAGAGTTTTTAATGTTAAAATGTGATCACTTGTTCTGCTATTTTTCCCAAAGCATAGTTGCTCCTTGTGTAATATATTGTTAGTTTCAAGGAAGTTCTCTAACCTGGTAGATAATATCTTTAAGAAAAATTTACCTAAACAGCTAGAAAGAGCTATACCCCTGTAGTTGGAAGGATCATTAAAACACCCTCCTTTAAATATAGGCTTAATGATGTTTTCTCTCTATATAGAAGGAAAGATTCCACTTTTAGATATCAAATTAAAAATCAACACATATGTTTTAACTAATTTACCACATGACACTCTAATCATTTCGTTTGTTATACCATCACAACCAGCAGATTTTTTTAACTTTAAGTCTTTTACAACCTTTAACACCTATGTGTATATGTTTAAATATGTGTATCAAATGACAATTAACTCATACTGATGACTCAGTAACTATTCCTGAAGGTTAATCTAGTATGCAATGTCAACAATATTCATAGCAGTCATGTTGTTGATATGCTTGACTGTATACATGTACATGTATACTATAAGTACATCCATATACCATGTATACAGCATGACAGTCAGTGGATATATTTTTGTTCAATCATCAATGCAATTTTTATTTATAATCGTGCAAAAGTTTTGTGGGTATGTGAAAATTATTGTATCGTATGAAAAAAAACATTACCAATAAAATTAAAAGCAATAAATATATCCTTGCCATCCTATAATGCCACGTATTGGTATGTAGCCGGTAGCCTTATCATTTGGGTAGAGCTCTTCACAGTTAAGGTAAAAATCTTCCTTTTCCCGAACTTTTTATACATTCCTCAGATTCCAAATACAAATATAATGTTGTCTGTATGAATAATGGTGAAATGAAAAATGTATACCACGAATCAAATTAATATAAAAAAAACCCATCGATGATGAATTATTCCAAAGAGAAAGAAAAATAGTTCAACGACATACAGGATACTTAACTTAGCAATACCGGAAGTTCTATACTTGGCAACATTCAACATTCCAAAATACGAGGTATAATAGTAGTGGTTTTTACGATTTAAAAACCACGATATGGACCACGCTCTGATTGGCTTATTTATTTTTCATTTTTGTTATCTATCATACAATTGGTTCTTAATGTAACTCGGATTTATTCTACGAAAAAGAGAATTTCCGAAGTGTACTTTCTGTTTCGATTTCACGTTATATTTATACTGCTGTTAACTGATGGGTAAGTGAGTCCTAAAGATGCAGAAAAGGGTAAACACGAAAACAAAAATTCCCTGTTTACGACAAAATAATAAACATACCTTTGCTTTAAACATTTAGGCCAAAATATCAGGCTCTGGTCCAACCTAGGATTTATAAAATTCCCTGTATAAGTTAATCACTATAAGTCTTATAACTAGTGAGTAGTGTGATCATGTTGATAGTAAGAGTTTTCCCCTGATATTCATGATTATATGATTACACGGTGTGATTATGTTGATAGTTAGAAGAAATTATTATTCATGATAAGTTGATCACACATTCAAATCATGTTGATCGTTTGATTATTGCTCTTAATATTCATAATCATCATAATCATATTATTCCACAGATTGACCATGATGATTGTTTAAATATTGCCCTTTATGTTCATAATCATATGATTACACAGTTAGGCCGTGATGATCGTCTGAATATTGCCCTTGATAATCATGATCATATGATTAAACAGTTAGGCCATGATGATTGTTTGATTATTGCCATTAATATTCAGAATCATATGATTACTCAGTTGGGCCATGATGGTCGTCTGATTATTGCCCTTGATAATCATGATCATATGATTAAACAGTTAGGCCATGATGATTGTTTGATTATTGCCCTTAATATTCACAATCATATGATTACACAGTTAGGCCGAGATGATCGTCTGATTATTGCCCTTGATAATCATGATCATATGATTTAACATTTAGGCCATGATGACTGTTTGATTATTGCCCTTAATATATATAACCATATGATTACACAGTTAGGCCATGATGATCATCTGATTATTGCCCTTGATAATCATGATCATATGATTAAACAGTTAGGCCATGATGATTGATTGATTTTTGCCCCTGATAATAATGATCATATGATTGAACAGTTAGGCCATGATGATTGTTTGAATATTACCATTAATATTCATGATTATCTGATTACGCAGTTTGACTATGATAATCGTTAGATTATTGCCCTTAATATTCATGATTATTTAATTACACAGTTTGAACATGATGATCGTTTGATTATTGCCCTGAATATTCATGATCATCTGATTACACAGTTTGAACATGATGATCGTTTGAATATTGCCCTTATATTCATGATCATCTGATTACACAGTTTCGAACATGACGATCATTTGATTATTACCCTTAATAATCATAATCATATGACTGAACAGTTAAACATGATAATCTATTGATTATTGCCTTTACTATTCATGATTATATGATTACATATTTTTGATTATTGCCCTTCATATTCATAATTATCTAATTTAAGGTTTGATTATTGCCCTTGATATTCATGATAGATTAGGTAATGTAATATCACACGTTGATCATGTTAATCATTTGATTATTGCCCTTATTATTCATGATCCATGATTCCAGGATTTTGAAAAAGGGGGTGAGGCCCTATGGAAAACCAACGTTTGGAGCAATATGTTTAAAAGTCTATACATTTATCATATATGAAGCTCCCTGCCCCCTCTAAATCCGCCTTTGATGATCATGTGATAACAGGGTTTAATCATCATCATTTCGAATCGATTGTTTGATTATTGTCCTTTATAACCTGGTTTAATCATGCCGATAGTTTCGATTTCTGCCCTAAAAATTCATGATCATGTTATTATATCGGTTGATCATTTTATTAGTTTGAATACTCCCCTAATGTTTATGATTATGTGGTTACACTTTGATCATGTTAATCATGTTAGTAGTTTGATTACTGCACTGGAATTACAATATATATATATAAAACCTGTACCTAAGAACCATATCAACAATACATACATGTCATATAGACTGTACCTATTAGGCTAAGAACCATATAGACAAAACTTATAACCTGAACCTATAACCATATAGACAATTAATAAAGCATATATCTAAGAACCATAAACAATACATGTACCCTATATCTAAGAACCATATATGATACATATAAACTAAACATAAGAACCATAGAAAATACATTAAGCCTATATCTAATAACCATAGAAAATACATATAGACTGTACCTAAAGACCATAGACAACATATCAAGCTGATATCTAAGAATTATAGACAATATATGTAACACTCCCAAACGTGTCCATCCCCCCAAACGTGTCCGATTCCCCCAAACGTGTCTATTTCCCCCAAACGTGTCCATAAAAGTTGATATCGCACAAACGTGTCCGATTTCAAAACCCCCAAACGTGTCCGATAATTGTTATTCTCCAAAACGTGCCCACTGTTTAACGCCAGAACGTCTCACGTCTTTTAGCGCCATACATGCATGTCCTAAATGAAATCAATATCGTTTACGGCAATTCTATGATGGGGGAAACAGTTGACTAAGTGGTCATTTATTAGCATTAGTTTGTTCAATACCGGTTGTTAATGATTATCATAATTGCAAATTTAATCTGTAACATACCGGTATGAACACACTTTTGACTGAAATTACTTGTCCAGTTGCAAGTATTTCATGCTCATTTAGAGCGAACATACAAATAATTCTAGTACAGTTGAAATAATCATTTACTATGTAAATTATTTTTTACTAATAAACTCCGATGATGCCTTTTATATTAATCCGAATATTGCACATCAGCAGAATTGACTTCCATTTTTTCAACAGTTCTGATATTTTAAAAGCTCTTCAAATTATAAACTGCATGGTTATCAGTTTTTTTTTTAATAAATTGTAGGTTTCGAGCATCACTAAAGACACACGAACAAGAGACATAACGTCCAGTGCCAAATATGTCATGCATTATTTGAACGACATCATGTTAACAATAAATACTGTAGATAAGTTCTATCATCATACCGGAAATTTAGGATTGGGCCTAAATTTTTACGGTTATTCGGGATTAACACTAGTTGGGATTTTAATCTAAAAAAATTAAGAGCGAGTAAAGACCATTTTTTTAATGACTTCAGTAAGAAACTACTTCATTCTCTGTTATGTAATAGAGGCCGTTTTAAATAAAAGTTGCGGAAATTTAAAAAAAAAAACGTTGCCTTCCAATATACAACTGATGGCACCATGAAAGAGTGAAATGCTACAAAGGTTTTAATGCACAGAGAATGGGACATAGAGGTATCTAATTTAATATCTACAATTTAACTGAGCCTGGATCCAACGTAGCCGAAACTGACGCCCCCACTTTTACCCAGGTTAGACTGCCAGTTTAAAAAAGACCTTAAGTAATGTATTTCTATTTTTTAATGAAATAGTAAAATGATTATACGTTAATGAAAAAGCAATAACCAAATAATCTACGTATTTATAATATGGACACGATAGTTCCAGTAAAAGAAAACAATTAAGCTTGATATGGACACGTTTGGGTGTTTAATAAAAAAAAATGGACACGTTTGGGCGTTTGTACAAATGACACGCTTTGGCGCCCTTTTACAACTAGACATGTTTTGCAGTTCAGTGACGTTATGTGGACACGTTTGGGGGAATCGGACACGTTTGGGCGGAAGGACACGTTTCTGAGTGTTACATATATAACGCCTTTATCTAACAACTATATACTATACATATAGACTGAACCTAGGAACCATATAGACAAAACATATAGCCTTTCTCTAAGAACCATAGATAATTCATATAAACTAAACCTAAGAACCATAGACCATACATGAAGCCTTTATCTGAGAACCATAGACAATACATATAGACTGAACATAAGAACCATAGACAATACATATGGACTGTACCTAAGAACCATAGACAATACATATAGACTGAACCTAAGAACCATAGACAATATATATTTAGACTGAACCTAAGAACCATAGACAATACATATGGCCTATATCTAAGAACCATAGACAATACATATAGACTGAACCTAAGAACCATAGACAATTCATATAGACTGAACCTAAGAACCATAGACAATACATATAGACTGAACCTAAGAACCATAGACAATATATATATAGACTGAACCTAAGAACCATAGACAATACATATAGCCTATATCTAAGAACCATGGACAATATATATATATAGACTGAACATAAGAACCATAGACAATACATATAGCCTATATCTAAGAACCATAGACAATATATGTAGCATATATTTTAGAACCATAGACAAGAAAAAAAGACTTATACATGAGGGTTGAGATCTCATAAACATGTTTAACCCCGCCGCATTTTTGCGCCTGTCCCAAGTCAGGAGCCTCTAGCCTTTGTTAGTCTTGTATTATTTTTAATTTTAGTTTCTTGTGTACAATTTGGAGTTTAGTATGGCGTTCATTATCACTGAACTAGTATATATATTTGTTTAGGGGCCAGCTGAAGGACGCCTCCGGGTGAGGAAATTTCTCGCTGCATTGAAGACCTGTTGGTGACCTTCTGCTGTTGTCTGTTCTATGGTCAGGTTGCTGTCTCTTTGACACATTCCCCATTTCCATTCTCAATTTTAACCTAAGAACCATAGATAATACATATAGACTGAACCTAAGTATATAGACTGAACATAAGAACCATAGACAATACATATAGCCTATATCTAAGAACCATAGACAATATATGTAGCATATACTTTAGAACCATAGACAATACATATAGACTTAACCTAAGAACCATAGACAATACATATAGACTTAACATAAGAACCATAGAAAATACATATTGACTGTACCTAAAGACCATAGACAACATATGAAGCTGATATCTAAGAATTATAGACAATATATAACGCCTTTATCTAACAACTATATACTATACATATAGACTGAACCTA